GGTCCTGTTTAGGATGGAACACTCGAGGTGCACACCTACCTTGCAGATCGCAGTTTAGAGATACAAGAACCTCTTACAAAGGGTTAGTTCATACTGTGTAAGTGATCTTGCTGCAGAGGGAAAGAGCTCTATTTTAGTTTCCTAAAGGTTGTCTTGGAAGTAAGCGATAACTACATCAAATAATCATGTCAGGTAGTATAGTGGTGCACTTCACAACTCTTGAATAGCAAAGTGATTCACAAACCCAGTACTGGCTAGAAACACATGTCCCTTGATACTAAGGATCACCTACTCTCTCACCTCCTGTATTTCATGAATGTTCTGCCAGTATGTAGCTTAACTCTTCTTTGCATTTAACCAATACTGAATACTGAGAAGAGCATACAAGACTTTTGAGAAGATCTATGAAGGAATAAAACCAGTAACAGCAGAAACACATCACTTTCAATTTTAGACTTGGACAAAGCAGAATATTTCTGTGAATATATTCAAAATTATGTCAGTAGATGTGATCAGAACTGCACTTTACTCTTGAAAAAGACAAATGCATTATCCCGATATTTAGAATAGAGCTTTGCTTCATAAAGAATCGTATTTGTCCTTGAAGCTGGTGGAAGAGGGGTGGATAATGGAATTATCAGATTATAAGGTCCAAAAGGTTTTGATTTTAGTGTTTTTCCATGAAAAAAAAAAAACAAAAAAAACCAACAGATCCTTAAATTGTATGTTCAGAAACACATGAACAAAACAGCAGAAACATGGAGCTGCACATTCTAATTCTAATTCTCTGACTTCCCAACTGCATTTCAGCCTTTACTTGCCAATCCAGCCTCTGCTTCCAGCTCATGGTATGTTATTCTTTTCACTGTCTGTTTGAAAGAGGCAGAAAGGTTTGAATAAAACAGGGCAGGCATGTGTTTGTGCCTGCGTGTGTGTGTTAAACAAGCAAGATAATTTCATGCATTAGAAAATATGGCAAGTACAATTTACGAATGCTTGATCAGAGTGAAGCAAAGCCATGAGTCAGCGATGCCATAGTTAACGAATGAAAAACTCTTCCATCTCATTCCATGTTCTGTACATGGCCAGATGAGGCTGTTACACAGAAGCAGGAGGTGGTTGTGCAGCCACTCCCCCATTACACAAATACACTTAGTAGGCAGTGCACAACAAAAGGGTGGGGGCAAGAAGGTTACAGCTCCCAAGGCTTCCTAATAAATCCACCTCTGCTCAACATTTTACATAATGATATAATGCATTATATTATTATAGGTAGTGACATCATAATAAAATACAGGAATGCTACTCAAGTGGCAAGGAACACCTAAGATATAGGTTTACATTTACAATTCAGTTCCTGTATTTTTTAATTATAGATAAGAATTTAAAATGAAAATTATTACTCATTCTATAAATACTGTTGTAATGGATCCTTGGCATATAATTAAGAGGCCTTTAATTTTAATTCTGTATACTGAACGCCTGTTTTTGGAGATATTCCATATTCTTTATTCAGGACCTATGCCAGCAAAGCTCTGTATCTCTATTTTAGTAGAAGCTGAAGATTATGCCCATCTCAGGCTGCTGCACCATGTTCTAACCCATCTTGTACTACAGCCTGTAGTTACAGAGTGCCTTCACATGGTTCATAGGACCTACCATCACACTGTTCTTTTTCTTTTTTTCTAGAAACTGAGGGTAGAAAAATACTTAGCCCATAATCTCACTGATAATGTGAAAATGGATGTTGCCAGTTATGTTCAACTATATATAAAACCTTTCAGACTGCAGTAAAGATTAGAATCATTGGCTCATGATTATTACGAGGTGAGGATAGCCTTTTTGAAAAGGTGACTGCATTTCTCAATTCTAGTAAGTACAGACACTCGTACCTTAAAAAGTACAATAACTGGCACCTTTTTGGCAGACTCAGCAGGCAGGTCAAAGATTGTCTCAGCATGTAGAATGAATTAATATTTCTCTCCCAAGAGCGGGTCCTTCTAGAAAAGGCTTAAGGCAGATTGGTGGGGCATTCAAAAGAAAGCTGGTGGGGGGGGGGGGAAGGAGGGGGTGAACACTTCTGTTTATCTGAGCATTTTTCAGATTTAGATCTAGAAACATACAAGCATTTTAATATTTTAATCTTGTATTAAAAACTACACCCTCTTCTGTCCATTCCTTATGCTTCTGGTCTCCTCTGCAGCCCAACACACACCCTACACTGTCTTATTCTCTTTGGATCTGTACTATCATGCTACTCTTTTGTATTGCTCTGTTTGGCCCCTTATCTGTCTTTAGTCCTTTGTCCTCATTTTGCTCCTAACCCCTCTTTCCTCACCTTTCCAAACCCCCTTCCGAGTTTCTGGCTCTCAGGGTCTTTCAGCTCCTTATCTTCTACATTTCCCTTCTGTGAATATGTTGCTTGCTTTTTTCTGAAGCCCAAAGGAATTGTGGAAGATCCTACAGTATTTCGGAAACACTTTTTCATTCTCAGCCGTACAATTTAGGAAGCACTGTGTTTCCTCCATCCCTTGCTGCAACAGGGAACACAGTGATTATTTAGCTTTTAGGAAATGTTCACAAGAGGGCAACAAATGTCCCCTAGCGCTGCATCAAACTAGCACTGACAATTCACAGTGCATCTGCATTCAAGCCTTCTTGCTTTTATTTTGCTATTATTTTGTTTAGTCCTGCATACATATCGTCGTAGCACAAATTCGCTGTGAAAAGATTCATTAACTATTTGTAACTAGCATGCAGGTATTTAGTGCCAAGCAAATATGGCTAAAAAAGAGAACGAATTGAATAACAAGGCTTGAGATACAGAGTGTGTAACTGACTTTAAATGCGGCCCTCCTGGCATCCACATAGAGTTGCCATTTCTAACGAACAGGTAGAGGGGAGACTACTCAATTTCCACTGTCCTGTTGGGCAAGACATGGTGATCCAAAAAGACAAGAGCAGAACTCTCTCCACACTCATAAATGCAGACTGGCAGGAATGGCTAGCCTTGCTTGGCTCCTCAGAGAAGGTTATAACAGCAGAGGCTGTAGCTTCTGCATGCCTAGACAAATTAGTGAGCATTGTGCTTCCCTATGATTTTCCCAGACACTGGGAGAATTGGCCTAGATGACCTTCTCTCTCCCAGAATCATCCAGCTGGTTCACCATTTCTCCAACAAATCAGCAGCACGGTCAGTTTAGCCTACATTCAAATAATTCTGGTCACTTAAGAAAACATCTAAAAGGAAATAAATTCCAATTAAGGCACAGTCACTTTAATACAATGAAGATCATCTCTGGACATGATTTCCTTGCTTTATATCAGATAAATCTGCCATTTTTGAACATTTCATTTTGTACTTAGATTATGTCTTTTCAGATAAGCTTTAAGCGTTACCATCTGTTCTGCAGCAATCACATGATCCTATCACTTTGATTCAGTTGAATACAAATCCCTTTGACAACAGGGAAACAGCAAAATAACATTCATTTGTTCCAAAATACTGCATAAAGTAGATTCTTACAACTCTGCTTTATAGTGGAGGTAAAAGACACGGGGAGACTCTCCTATACATCTCTGGTCTGTGTCCCATATTGTCCAGGCAGCACTCTGGCACTGAAGCTTCTTGTCTGCTAGAGAGATTGAGACAGCATTTCAGCTGTGTTGAGCAGCCCCAAGGGCTGGAAGCTCAGCCAGGGCCCCGTGCCTCTGCATGCCTGCTAGCATTTCGAAGCAAATCCTGAGTCAGAGGGAATACACCTTTCTCCAGCAGATGTAAGTGCACTATAGTTACTACACCTCTCAGCAATCTCTGAGGCATTCTTTCCGCGTCTGTCCTCTGCAGGCAACTGGCCCTCAGCCATTACAGTTGGCCACGGCAGCAACAAACCTTCCCTGCTGGTTTCTAGGACAAAGGCAAAGGCAGAGATTGTACCTAGTATTGTGGCCACATCTATGAAGAAAACTCCAGTAAGGGCTGGTACATATTATGCAAATATTTGGAACACTCTTCTACTTCGAATAATTTCCCATGGGTATGGACCCGTTTAGCAGAAAGCTGATCCTGTTCAGACTCACTAAAAATTTATATGACAGGATAAATTATTTCTCTTTAAGTTTTGGAAGAAGCGTGTATTGTACCATCAAAATAACTTGCAGTTCCTGGCTTTGCATACATAGACAACGTATATGATTTGGCTGGCACACAGAAAAATGAAGCATTGCAAGTCTTCTCACCATATCCATCTAGACCCCTCCTCAACAAGGCTCTACAAACATTTGGGTTATTATTCAGAACATAATTTCTCCGTATTTTCACTCGATGAATAATTCTCGGAGGGAACATATCATTTGTATTTGTGGTTGAACACATGAAAAGATCAAACTGCTGCATATTGACAGTTACAGTAGATCAGAATTTATGCTATTGATGTACCAAGGATACAAGGAAAAGAATAGCAGTATATCAGGGTAATATAAATTCTAACTGAATTTGGTATGATGACTTCTCTAGTGTTGTATAATTTACTGGCACAGACTTTTAGACCTTAAACTGTACTCAAAATGACTGGAATACAAATTTATATTTGAGACCTCTGAGGTTGACAGTGACAAAATGCAAAGACAAAATGTCTTGGATCAGACATTGCTCATTTGCATCTATTTAAACTTGAAGTTTTCTCCAAGCCTGTAAGTTGTTTTAACAGTTAACCTGCAAGCACTTGGTGAATCTCTCAGAAGCATGCTATCTTTTTTCCATCAAGCTAAAAGGGAAAGTTTGATTCATTTTAAGTGCATTGATGACAGAAGAGCTCTGAATAGCATTTTATCTGCAATACTGTACTTGAAAGGAATGAAGTGCAAGTTAAACAAACAGTAACAACGAATGCATTTTTTTCAGGGGTGGTCCTCTTGGAAAACGTTAACCACATTAAAGTAGGCAGTTATTGAAATATGCAATTAATTTTAAGTTGATAGAAGTTGAAACTGTCATTCACCTGAGCAGGTGGTGGAAGAACCTTCTTGCATATCTGCTGATGGGGTCTCTGTACTCCAGCACAGTTGTATCCAAGAGGGGTCTTGTTGGAGCATAAAAGGTTCCAAGGCTTGCCTCAAGCTGTGCTGTGGAGTTTAAGTAGAGCAGCAATGAAACAAGTGAAATCGTTTCAATTACAACAGGTTGTTCATGTTTGCAGTCAGTCAAATTCTTCAAACACTGCTGAAGCACAATGTTGTTGTAGGATAGATGAAATTAAAATATGACAGCTTGTACAAACACAAATGTGCATATTAACTTTCATTTTGAGGCAGAGTTGACAATGACTTTGAGCAACAAAAGCTGTCAGAAAGATGAAAAAGTTTGTAACACATCAAGTTCTCACCAGAACCATACAATTAAAAGTGACTCATAAGAAAAATACAGTTTGAACAAGTTTGTCCAGTGGAGATAAACTAAATTATCTCAGATTTTCTATGTCCTCTTAGGCAGACAACAATGAAGTTCAGTTTTTCAGGGATTATTGTTATATCTTAGGTCAGCAGGTGACAGAACCTTTCTTTTGATGGCCTTGAGGTCTAAGGAGCCTCCTTCAAGCAACAATTCTTCAAAAACTTTAAATAAAAGGGTCCAAAAACCCTGAGGGTTTGACTCTCCTGCAGTGTGCAGAAGAGTCAACCTCCCTTGTCATCAATAAAATAAAGCCCTTTTGTTACAGAAGTTGCATCTGCTTTACTTTCTGACTGGTATACTCCACAGGTATAGCTCTGAGCCATTTTACTACATGTTTCTAATACAGAATCATAAATAATACAGGAAAATACATAGCATATATTCGTGTCCCCTGAACGTGTCCTGTGCTGAGTTGAGATGAAATATAATAATTATATTTATGCTACATGACTTCTGCTTAATAGTCAACACATAGTATGAAACTTTATATACAGAACTGCCTTCGTTTCAGCTGGAATTGAATTATTTTCTCCAGAGTGTTTGGTAGGATGCTGTGTTTTTGGTTCTAGAACAAAAACAATTGACTGAAATTCAGAAATAACCAATGAAGGTCTCACTCCTAAGTCACAGGGAGAGTTTACTATGCCAGCATTGGTTCTCCTGTCAAGACAGACACACAAATTGCTACTGCTGATCAGAATTTCGTGTGGGCTTTAAAAGCAAAATACAACCAACCTATTGTCTCATTAGGTAGAAAAATCTCCCTGATTTGTTGCTATTAACATTTGTCTGAACTAGCCATTTCTGTATTCAGTGATAAAGGTTCTTTATTTCCAAGCATAGTTACATTCTATTTCATTAGGTTTGATTGCACTAAATGTGCTAATAGTACTGTGTTAGAAACACAGGCAAACTGTTAGTAAATTAGGTTTTGTGTTATCTTGCTGTCTAGGTTTACGATAAGCTGAACTTTAAAGGTATTTTCTTTCAAAGCAGCAGTCAATTTAGATTAAAATTGAATACAGCGGTACCTTTGCAAAAACAAGCTATACTTTCTTGCCATTGCTGTTTTCTTGACAGCATGTTTTGTACTTCAGAAATATTCCAACCTAGATGGAATATGAGTAACTACCAGCACAGTTATAGATTCATTAGATAGCCCAGCTTGATGTTGAAGGCAGAATAAAGATCTCAAGGATAACTGCCACATCACTATAAATAAAAGGCCTCACTGGGTTTTTGCTAATAAAAAAGAAAACAAATTACTATGCCAAATTTGTTAGATTCACACAGAATAACTCCCGGACAGAATAAAATTTCATCTGCTGTAAACAGTGTTAGGGAGCTGCATGGGGGGAAACACACAGACATCTATTTATAACGTGCATATTTTTTACAAGAGTTTCAAACCCAGCCTTTTTCATGGGTCCTTTTAAAAGCATGTTTCATTTAGAATTGATATGCTACGTTTGCAATGCAAGGAGTTTTTAATCAGATCCCCCAAACTTGACAGTTGATGGTTTAGAAGCAATGTAGGACACTTTGGAGTTTTGCTATCATCAAACACACCAGAACCCTAAGTATTCTTTCTGGGCACAAAAGATGCCTGGTCCCCTGTCTGCCTGCTAGACTGGAAGATAACACCTTCACTAAATCAAGGCACTTCAAATCTTGAAGTCTCTTGAATTTCAAGATACGCAGCAAATCAAGAGGAAGGCACCACACCAGGCTTCAGCAGAGACAAGGCTGAACCTAAAACTCATCAATTCTTGTGAGAGACCCCAGCTAGTACTGCAGGGGGGCAGGAGATTACTGCGAGGACAAAAGCTATAATCCTAAAGGAGGCAGCAGAGGACAGTGTATTCAAAGCCTTCGGATCTTGTAGCAAAAGAGTGACCCTTCACAAGCACCTTAACAATTCCACTCAAATCCTGTTAAAGGAGAGTTTCCCTGCTTATGTCAGTGCTGTCTCAGTATGAGTACATAACAAACACTTGAAGCCTGTGTTAACTAGCATTGGTCTGCGACCAAATTTGTGTAACACAATAAACCTACAGCGTATATGAGATAGTGCTATACGCGTTAGGTCATGCCTGTATCACACATGTGTTGAAATAATGTGCATTTTATTATCATTCTTGGTAGAAACATTAACTGAAATTCAATCAACACATTAATCCAGACTTCACTGAAATAATTATTTCTAAATACGACATTTGATTAGGGAGTGCTATGTTCAAATGGCTGACTATTCTCCCTATTGTCTTTTTTATACAGTCAATAAATATAACACCATAATCCTCATAAGAACTACAGACCCCAGAAAAGCACATTAGAAGTGCAATCAGTCTCTTACCTTCTCTGTCTGGTGTAAGCTTTTGTTTAAGTAGGTGATTGACAATGGCACTCAAGCAGATGTAACACTGATGGCCCATCGTGTTCCAGTTCATGGTGTTCAGGACGTTAATTGCCTCATGTATCTCATCATAACGAATGTATTGGTGGATGATTTCCACAAGGCCCAGCTGTCCTCTTGTTATCACACCTTTTTTAGGAAACATTAAAGCAGAAAATAGCGTTAAGAGAATATGTAATAGAATATTTTTCAACAGAGTTAAAAATAATTACTGTTGATTGAAATAAAAGTTAAGTGAATGGGTTTCAATGTTTAATTTCTCTGTAATAGAACTCCATGTTATCTTATCATATTAAGATTTAGGGTGCTCTGGACAGGGGACTTAATGCATGGACGGTAGAGAGAATGTGGTCAATATCCACCAGTGAAAACATCATGTAGTGGAGCTTTGCTAGAGAAAGCTCATTCCCAGATTTTCATTTTGTTACAAATGAAGCCATGCATTTGCTCACCATAAGAGAAGAAAATGAAAGGCACATTCCCCACTCCACAAGATCATGATTTTACTACAAAACTTAGTCTCTGATCAGTGTGAATTAAAACAGATTCTCAGATGTTGGCATGTAGGTCTCAGCTCCTGAACAGGGAAGCTGCCTAGAAAGACGCAGAAAGTCATGTTCTTAATTGTCTCTGACTAACTAGATGATCACATGCTGTAGGTCTTGCAAGGCACTTTAGTAGTTCTTCCTTCCTTTGGGTCACTGTGGGAATGTATTCTTTATCACTAATGCTCCAGATGTCAGGAAAAAAAAAATAGAATAAACGTTCTGTTTCCCTCTCTCTAAATAAAGCATAAAGCATGTATTAAAAAAAAATCACAATCTACATTCTGATGGTGTTTGTGGAAAATAATTCTAAGGAAAAAATTCTGATGAGAAAATGAATTTCAGTATGGATTTTAGAGCCATCTGATGGCTGGGGCAAAAAGGTCTGCTAACAGAGAAACGTAGACATGATATATAGAAAACAGACCTCACAAAATTTTCATACAAGCAGTTGTGAGCATTGTTCATGATGGACAGTAGGAGTGGAGAAAAAAGTGTGGGAAAAGAACCCATTTGACTGTAGGTCCAGGCCAGACAGTCTGCTGAGAATTTGCAAATACAGACGTGATGTTATGTATTCGGTCATACGTATATATTTGTAATAGATATAAATTTAATTCTATACATATATACATATATATGTTTGTCAAGTATTTGCATATATGAAAGACTATGGACATTATACTGTGTAATAGCTGTGTTTGATCTGTGCGCATCTCTGATTGTATCTAATCGTTACAATAGGATTTATTCTCCTTTAATATTTCTAAAGCATTACACAAGTTGGGAAATCTTTATATAAATCACTAAGTGAAGATGAAAATACTGATTTGCGAGCTAATTAAATATTATATTATATTTTAAATATCCACCTAGGCCAGCAGTGCTGAACCACTGGCACTGGTAGCAGGTCTGGCGTCATCCACTGTTTGGGCTGACTTCAATGACAAGCAGCTGTAATGCTTTTAAAAATGAATTTGGCATTAGACAACAAAAGTATCTGCCATTAGTGTTTGAGGGTAGATTTAAAACGAACCCTTTCCTGAAATAAATCTACCTAGACTTATTCCAGGATTCATAGTTCTTGTCCAAGAGCATAATGTGGCAGCTGTCAGTTAAAAATCTATTTTCCAGGAGACTTTTATGAGACACAATTCAAGTAACGTTAATATAATTTATAAATGTTAAAAACAAAGGACTGTGGAACTCCATGTATTCAAGAGAAGAGACATTACCTAGCATGAAACACTACATCGTGATTCAGTAAAACTGTGCAGCCCAGAATCAATCCTATGGTCACTTCCAACTGCATTCTGTGGGAGATCCTCCTATGCTTGAAGAAATTTTAAAAATGCTATGTATGATGCAATAGCTGTAGATCCAAAAATGTTGCTTTTTTTTTTTTGGAATGGCAATAATAGGGGTATTTCTAGGGCCAGTAAGAATAGTTCATTCTTAAAACATTAGTGGATTACTACTACTACTACAGACTAAAACCTTCACAAACTGCAGTACTGCCTTGAAAATTTTCTGTGTATTTGGAAATCTAGGAATACTAATATATATTTAAAAAAAACAAAAAACAAACAAAAAAAAAACCAGCAACAGCAATTCTACCCATTGTATGGAAATTCCACCTTAGGTGTGGAAAACTGAGTGGTAAAGCTGAAAACCAGAATGCAACAGAGAACGGCACGTTTTTGCACAGTGGTCTGTAGAGGAGAAGGTAGGGAGGGGTGGAGAGAGAGATTTTACAATAATTATAAAGAATGAATTTTAAAACGTGATAACTTTCAGCTGTAGAGGTCAACAACTTCCTATTTATTTGGATGCTTGACTTCCCTTGGGTGGTGCGCTTCTGGGCAACCTACTTGGGAAAAAGAGGTGACGGCCAACTCACTGCCTAATTGATTTAGGAACGGTGCCCAGGGAGACAGTCCAATTAAGTTTACAAGCTGGCAATTAGCAGGAAAGGCCTCTAAATCCCTGCACTGAGAGCCTGCTGCCTCCGTAAGAACATAAATGTGCTAAAGATAGCAAGGAGAAAGCTGAGCTTTCTGGAAAGCTGTTGTGAGCAAACCCCATGAGGGAGGACTATAGAAAAGCAAGGTAGATGTGGGTAGAGTGCCTTCTGCTTGACAGGTAAGAGGTAATTTAGAGGATGTTTTTTTAATGGCCAACATGCACAAAAGCATCAAATAGCTGTTTTAATTAGTGTTCTGGGGGGCTCTGCAACCATTAAACCTGTCACTGAACACAATACAGCTGAATCATCTCGAAATAAATGGTAATTTGTAAACATTTTTAATAGCAATTTTGGATCAACTCTTTTGAAGGTATATAACTGTAAATCAGTCCAGTGTTTTTCCTGGTGACTTTAATTTATCTTTTTGCTGTGGCATATGTAGTAAAGGTTTGGTAAAGCCAGATTTTCTAATGTTTAGACAGATATTTCCCCACACAAAAGCACATGCATATCACAAACGAGTTTCAAACTTCACAGTCACCTGGCTTCTTAAAAATAGGTGTCTTCCTAATCACAAGAGATTTGTATGAAATACTTACCGAAACAAAACAAAACAACAAACACACAAAAAAAACCCGAAATGAACTCCTTTTAAAGACAAAGGTAATTCTTATTTCTTGGACAGATAACGGGCAAAGTACTGACATTTTCCAGGACAAAATATACTCAAATATAATATACAAAATATACTCCCCATGGCTGTCTGCCATGGAGAAACACTGGACTGGTAGACAGAAGATTTAAGCATGATAGTTTTTTTGGCTCTCACACTGGGTCTGCACCACTGTAACTTGATTGGCTTGAATGGAATGAATGCAGTTCTCACTGATGATGAACCACAGGGGTTATATTCTTAGTTCAGCCACTGACACCTCATTTAACACTTAAAAAGCCCTCCAACTTTCCTTTACTCTTGTTATTCTGTTTGTAAATTGAAGTTAATTACAGTTTTACTCCCTTAAAGCCTCTTTACACCTAAAATGAGAAGTGCTAATAAATTCTAAACTATCATTACTTTTTTCTTTTGTTCTCAACTGCTAGTAAATTATTTGAGATGCTAAACTTCTTTAAAGGTTATGAAAACCTTCCTTCTTGTGTGAAGTTTTAAAGGGAAAAAGTAGTGTGACTTCATGTACCAAGGCCAAAAAAAAAAAGAGAGTACTGAAAAAAAACATACACTGTAATGGAAAAGATAGTTGTATCATATACAAAACTAATCTGTTTAGGAAAGAGAATAGCATTACTATCCTATTATGACATGTAGCTTATTTTTGTTTGTAACAGGTATGTATACAGAATGAATACAAATACCTACAATTGTATTCTACAGAGGAAAATAATTTTTAATATGAGAAACTGTTAGGCAGGGGAAAATAATAGGATTCTGAGTCACATATCAGACACCACAAGAAAAGATATTAAATAATAGTGAAACATAATGAACTCCTTGATTTGCATCTTCTAGAGATCATCGGAATCGTGTGTCTTTAAGGTTCTGGTCCCATTTATCTAAAAGGCTGTTTTCAAACGACATAAAACTTCTGAGGTACAGATGTTTCCTTGAGAGCCTAAAGGCTCAATAGATGCGCTCAGTAACTTACCAAGTTTAAAGCGAAGTACTCCTAAGGGTCCTTTGTCAAACCTAATGAACAAAAGATCATGGACATCCATGCCATCAGCACTGGGAGATGCAGCTTGAGCAGCAGCCCACTGAATCTGGATGAGGCTGCTAGACACGTCAAAGTGTTTGCTGAATTGCAGAGTTGCCTCAGGTGAATAGTTGTCTGCTAAGAGCTGAATTTTAACTGGGGATAGTGCCGTGTCAAAAATCTGCAGCTCCCCTTGAGAGCTTCCAACCAGGAATATGGCCCCAGAAGGGTGGTAGGTTACTAATGCAGGCAATAGTTTTGCTTGGGCTAACAGAGTCACTTGGTTGTACGCATCATAAAGAATTATTGATGAATCTTCGCAGCCCAGGACTAGTTTGTCTTCTGTAATATTTCTGCAACAGCTGATTGCCCTTGACTGTAGAGGTATTCTGGTGACTGCTGCACACCGAATTTTGTTTCTAACACAGTTGTAGATGCAGCTGTCAGCCATGGGCTTTTTATCTGCAGAGATGGAGTGCTCAACTGTGTGAACCTGGTAAGGCTCCTTAGTGCTAAAGCTAGCGTCGAGTGGATCCCATTCTGTACGAACGTAACTCAGAACCTGTAAAAAAGCCAAAATGCTTTGGTACTTATTTGTAAAAAATTATTCTTATATTTGACAATTTAAAATTAGACAGCTGAAAATACATTTTTTTCATGACTCAGTAAGCTAAAACAAGTTATTAAATCTATTGTTCAGGCTTTTCAAAGGTTAATTTATTGCTATAGAGTCTGAGCCATTTCTTTTATTCAGAAGATATAATAGGTTAGCAGCATTAAAGATAAAAGGAGGGATTGTCCTAACAGTCCTACTAGAAGAGAGATGAGCTGCTGACATATCAAAGAAAGGCTGATTATTCAGAAAAAGTGGAGAGAAAAATCCCCAAATATCTTGAAAAATTTATAGTAGACTACTCTAAGCATCACAGATAGAGCATTTTTGATCATTTGCTCTTGGCCATGGTAACAGAAAATACTATACTGTGGAGGTGGAAACAATGGCAAGTTTAAACAGTGTACACTACACACTGCCAAACAAGTAGGTGGTAGATGCCTTTTAGTGACATATAATTAGTTACAGAAGAGAAGAAGTTTAGAGGTACAAGCAGGTAGGAAGAACACAAAGGCAGAGTATGATCCAAAGATAGCAGCTGGCAAAAAGTAAGAATTTCCAGTGTAAAAACATGAGAGATACTATGAAATGATGGAGGCGACAGTGGAGTCCAGTGCAGATTCATTACGCATCTGAGAAAGAGGTATTGTAGATGACTTTAGAAGGGAAACTGTGGGAGAAGAACCAGTTGTAGTTAAGTTAAACATGGTTTATAAAAAGCTATTTGCCTGAAAGAGACAGGAAATAGACTTTGTCAGAAATAGAAGATGTTAAAGAGCCAAACCATACCCATCATGTTATTCACAGGATCAAGTTGCTGACCTGACACTAAAACTGCTTCTTTTGAGTCTAGGTGGTATGCAAGTGCCACTTATGAAAAGAGATACCAAAAACAGAGATGGAGAATACTTGGAAACTTCAGAGTGAAAACAGAAACATGCACAGTATACTTAAACACTTTGAAGCTGATTTCCACAGACCACTAGACTAACTGAATTAACTGAATTTAGCCCTTCAAATTGTAAAGTTAGAGACTGAGAAAGTAAGTTTTTCTTTGGCATACCAACCATTACTTCAGAAACAACAAATGGATTTGGGATGCTGATCAGACTGATTAGGATGTTTACTTATTTTGTGAGCAAAAGGGCTTCTCATTTAAAAGCAAGAAAAATCACTGTTATAATTCTGTGGCTGTAAACCATCTGCCTGTTAATACAGAAGTCCTAGCTAGTGTAAGATAAGGTTAGGGACATATTAAGAACTACTTAATAGGCAAGAAACAGAACATCAGATGTGAAGCATCTAAAAGAGAAGCCAACGCAACCAACTTGTGAAAAGCAGGTAATCTGATTTCAGTGAAGGGCAGTGATCAAAGAAAATACACACCAAAGCAGAAATAAGAGGTTAAATAAGCTATACAGCTTGAAAACCCATTTCTCACCTGCTCCACTTGCTTACCAATGACTTAGCCTCTGCAGCTAGTAATTTAAGTAAATCCACAAAATGTGCAGTGGCTACTGTTCAGAAGTTTGGTTTTAGAACTGCTTAAAACATGTAGCTTATTAGTATGTTAAAATGCATAGCAAGACAACCTGTAAAGGGGTTATGTGTACAAAGGATTACTGTGACCACAGAGCTGTGTAACCCCAAATAAAGACAAGGTGAATTGTCATTTGCTCTGACTACGCACAGAGACCGAGACAGCTGCCTTTCAAATACGTGAAATAGAAATCTTGCCCAAGCAAGTCTTCAAAGCTTCAAAACTTAAGTGAAGCGAGCCTTGAGGCCCCCTGGGACTCTCAATTCTGTGTTCCTGTGGCAGGTTTCAATGCACCACATTATTTACCTATTTTTCAATGCAAGAGAAGTGACTGTTGGAAAACAGCAATAGAAACAGTAATAGAAAAAAACAAATGTTGCCATCAGGTCATTTGAAAGTCAGCAACTAAACCAAGTCTAATAACTTTGTTCTGTCAGGTTAGCACAAAGGAGGGACAAAATGTTGCCTGGTAATTTGAATTTAAAAGAAAGTAGAATTTTATATCTTGGAAGGTCTAATTTAATTAGCCTTAACATGAGAAGTTTCCTACCTGCTCATAATTTTGAAAGCAGATCCCTGAAATGAAGTTTAGGGTTCGGTTGGTTGCTGTATGTTAAAAAATAATATGCTAGGGAAATATTCCTAAGAGAAGACTATTTGTTACATTACAAAACGTAAGTTTTGACATAATGTTTAAACAAACTAGGTTTAAAGGAAACTTTCTAGAGACTACTGGCTGAAAACAAGAGAAACATCTCTCCTAAAGTTGGAACCAATGAACCTTCTCACACATCAGTGGCCTCATTTGCCTCTTGAAGGAAGAACAGCAAGCCTAAGAGAACCTCTTTGTTCTGGTTTCCAATTCTGCTGAACATAACTGGTATTTGGCACTCTGAGGAGAGAAAAAGGATATTCTCTTTCATCTGAGAGGGAAGATTTGAGTTTCTCTGTCAGAAATTTTACTTTTATTAATAATTGCTCATGTCACTAACTGAAGAACTAAAGCTGAGACATGCAACTACAAAACCATGTTAATGAAGCTAAGATAACACTCTTGAAAAAAAGCATTCCTTCCAGGCCTTCCAGTACCTAAGGGGGGCCTGCAGGAAAAATGGGGAGGGACTCTTTATCAGGGCGTGTTAGCGATGGGACAACGGATAATGGATTTAAACTAAAAGAGGCTAAATTTAGATTAGATATAAGGAAGAAATTCTTTACTCAGCGGGTGGTGAGGCCCTGGCACTGCTGCCCAGAGAGCTGTGGGTGCCCCATCCCCAGAGGCATTCAAAGCCAGGTTGGATGAGGCTGTGGGCAGCCTGAGCTGGTGGGGGGCAGCCCTGCCCACGGCACAGGCTTTGAACTTGATGGTCTTTAAGGTCCCTTCCAACCCAAAGCATCCTACAGTTCTATGAATCAAAGCAGTACAAAGACTAGCAATCAAATCAAAGCATATTTTGTTCCAAAGAGACGGTACTCCATTACCTGCCAGTTGTTTACCTACATGGTAAAGTAGTGATGTGCTGGTAAATGTAGTGAACACAGCGCTCCAGCAGCTCACCTGAAGGATTCCGATGGAATTCCTGACAAGCAGAGTTCTAACTGCCCTGTAACCCTGAAGGGGAACATCACTATAGCCGTGTATCTTTCAGTTAACAAAACCAACATTTTCATGGGGAAGGTGAGAGCTAAAGCTTTTGGAGTTTCCTCAACAGTGTGTGGGACAACTGTCAGAACTGTGGAGGAGGGGCAGGCTGGTGGATCTAAAAGGATAAAGACATACTGTCACACTGCTATTTAGTCCATAAATCTTGGACTGATCAGTTAACCTTAGATTTCAAAAGAAGCTTTCTGGAAGAATTTTGCATTACTTTCTGTAAAATAAATAAAATGTTGTTTTTTAAAAATCCTTTACAGTTTAATGACATGTACATTAGAAGCCTAGCAAATGTATTTTAAAAGTATCCACAATTTATGTACATTTGTCTTATGAATGCAGTAGTCAAGTCCCTCTACTACACATTTGTACAATTTAGTTCCTGCAGTACTGGCCTGTGCCATGCATCAGCTGATAGCAGTAAGAGATACTATGCATGCCAGCTTCTCAAATCCTAACTCAGAAATCATATCAATCCAAGTAAAGGAATCTGACAGTCTTGATAACTATGGGATCTGAATTGTACTAGCTAACATACCTTCTTCCTTTTAATGTTTGAAAGAAATAATAGCACTAGCTTGTGTAAGTGGTATCACTCTCCTCAGTGCAAATCGTTGAACACTCAGAATTGAAGCATGCTGTATAGAATACGGGGAAAGAATAAAGCCCACATACCAAAACAAATACAAGTTTTAAACAGTAGTACTTAAGCAGAAAATTGGCTTACCAAGCAGATTAAAAAAAAATAAAAGAAAACAAAAGAAACAGAAATAAGCTTGCTGTGACTGGACTGTGCATCTGTTGGATGAGACAAATGTTTCATATATTTTATGGATGTTAAAGAAATGCTTGCTAAATTTCACACAGTGAAGCTCCAAATAACAACAAACACTTTAATTAGAAATGTAAAGTGGGAAGGGTAATGCACACTGGAGTAAAATAGCTTTAAATACAGCACTGTGAAAGAGGAAAAAAAACAAACAACACCTTATATTTAAACTCTTCTACAATAAAAATACAAGGCTCCTATCCAGCATATTTATTTGGCTGCAATGGATTTCCAGTCCCAACTGCAATCTTACTATTTAGCTCTTCAGCCAACATTTATTCTTATTTTCTTTCAAAACTTATCATCATAACATTTATCCTGCATTATTCATCAAACTTTTAACAGAACACGGCATCGAGATTTTACAGTCCTTGTTGATGTGTGTGAGAGGTATCTGACTATTCAGTCTCACAGTGCAGATGCTTTTCTGACTGCTACAGTACAGCTCACTCATGTAAGGTCTGATGTGTTTATTTTACAAGTTTGTTGTGCCACGTAAAGGAAATAACTATTAAATGTTGCTGTGAAAAGATAATGTTCTCTCCCAGGAAAATGTTTCCATAAGACTGAAGTATAATTTCAGCCATTTGTATTAGCAGTAAAAGGAGAAAATAAACATAGCAAAGACAAATGTAAAGTACTACAGTAACCAAGCCTCAGCATCATCACCTATTAACTTTTGCTATTTTTGTTAATGTTTGCTATTCAAGTTGATTTTAACATGACTGTCTGTCAAAGCATTTAATCCACGGATGATTTCAGATATGATCCTATTTATTCAAAGTAAATTGAATTCTGCTTTCAAAAATTTCTTGCATTATCTACACAGTCAGACAAATTAAATAGCATGATCACTGGTACTCTAACAAAAAAGAAACAAGCAGTCAATTAAATAAATAAATTGGGGAACCGACGGGTTTACCATAGGAAACGGAGACACACACAAAAGCAGACAAAAGTTCAGCAAACACTGCTGCAGCAGCATGAGTGCATGCACATCAACACACATCATACGCCAGGGCTGTCATACACCAAACAGAAAAGCACTTTTATTTCTTCAGGGGAGGATTCCTAACTGAATCCTACTGCATGCAACACAGCAATTGCTGATTTCAGAAAAAAAGAAAAAACGGACAAAAAAAAAAACACCGAAGAAAGTCAGAGAAATCAAGATTTGCAAGGAAAAAGTTGTCCCCATTTTTAAAAGGATAACGTCTACCTTTAGAATTAATAGCAGCAAACGTTAAGGCATAAGGCCATAGAGCACAATTCCAGACACATATATAGTGTATTTAAAATGTGAAACGGCTTTTCTTCTTTAAGTTGAAGTGTTGCTGAGGTACACAATAGCCCAAACACCGCATGTGAACCTAAGTCACCTCGGTGCATACTGTGTAGTTAGTTACAGGATATTAACATGACAAGGGATTGGGCTGTCTTGTCCCAGGGCTGTTGCTGTCCTCGTCCTAATAAGTAGTCTTCTGGTGGGCAGCAAATACCACTCGGAACATTTTTCCAGGGAGGAAGCAGTATCATTCAGATTTGCTCTGCAACAACAGTAAGTGCCAGTAGCTGGCAGATCTGTTGGTGGTTTTTGTAGGTCAGCACAAACACGCTGCACAAAGGCTGTGGGCAGCGCTCAGGCATTTTCTCAGGCTCGGTTTATTTTTTCATAAACTCAATATGCCAAAGAGCTAATCATTTGTAGACCAGATATCCTGCTTTTTTCTTAATTCTAGATGATAATGATGTCTTACCAAAGTGACACCATTATTTTCACATAAAATGTTAGTGGCGTTAATTGAACACATTCCTTTTTGGTTATTTCCCCAAACTGTCTGAGTTCATTCTCCTTATTATTCTTCTGTTGACAATAATCATTCACTTGTTAAAAAAATCATGGTATTGGTCAAAATATGATATATGTGAATTCACTTTTATATATAACAAGTCGTGTCACATTTTTCTTCCAGGGCTATACCTGAAGAATACCACAAATGGTAAACTGCTAGGAGCAAAGACAGGCAGGTTTACAGAAACACTGTGCCACCAGCTGTTTAGAAGCTGTCTGAAAATGCTAACTATGTTTGTACTCAGTTTAAGCTATCCCGTGATCCTCAAAAGCTGCAAGTAAAAGTGGCCCTCCTATGCGCAGGGGGAGAAACATGTATTTCAGTTAATTGCAGATTGGGTATTGATGTTAGTTCTAGAGCTGCTGGGCTACGACATTCCCTGTCTGGGAAGGGGAATTTAACTACCAACCGTAAGAATTACTAGAGAAATAAGGAAGAAAAACACAAACAGTACTGTAGGTTACCTGTCACGGATAACAGGAAAAGCGCCCAGGAGGTAAATACATGGAATAAACTACAACCAGCAAAAATAGTAATTATCTATATATTTACACATCTACACATTTTCCAAAACGGTGGCGCAGTGCATAGTATTTTAATGACAAATAAAGAAAAAGAAATGTCACGTGAGGAGCTTAGAATTAAAACAGGCAAGTGTAGGCAAAGGATGAAAAGAGACTGAATAGTTAAATTTGGTAGTTCTGCTTTCTAAAATAATTTCCGTATATTTATACTACAATATAGGCTAAATTAAAAGGATTATGAGTTTAGGCCTAAAGGCTCAGTGAATGCTTATTATCACTATTGTGTTAAGCACCAGTGATGTGCTTGGGACTATACTAGACAGCCTCAGCCCCGAGCGATTGAAAGTCTAAACCAAAAAAGGATAAAACAAGGTGCGCCGAACGATGCAGAGCAATGCTGTAATTTGGAAATCTCCCTATAACATACACAACAAAAAGGAGAAAGCTTTTAACTAACTATGTGAATTTCATAGAAGAAATGAGCCCCTAAAAAACATCTCAGAAAATAGAGACGGCAAACTGACATTAGGGAGCATCCTGGAAGAACGTGCAGAGACTTGGAAAGGAAATGAATGGCATGGGAACGTTACTGTCAGAACCAGGACTTACAGATGTTACGGTAAGAAATTAGATGTGAGCTGTGAGCAGGATGACTTTTCATAACGTGAAACTCGCACAGGAGAGCATGCTGCAAAAACTTAAGGGAACAGATGTCCCCTTTAAGTACCAGAATCATTTTCACGTGTGATCGGTCACAGCAGCAGTGGGAACTGAGAACTGCAGGTGTGTGTCTGGAGGAGGAGAGGGATGAGTCAAAGATGACCACTAGTGGGGAGAGGCCAATTGAAAAGAAGAACAGAAGGTGGAACTGGAGGTAATTTAAACTTAAATTCTGCAGTGATTACTGACGCAGATAAGAAAGAAAAACTGTCTCAACTGCATTTTCGCTTTCAATGTATAGAAAATCCCAAGGGAAAAAAACTCACTGAAATTAATATTATTTACCAAAGAAATAATTCTAAGATGTGTTAACATGTACGTCTTCCCAAATTAAAGAGAACTGAATGTTGTTTACAGGAGCAGCTTATTTGAAGTGTTACTTTTGGTTTTTCCCTACAGGGAAACAGCCTGTAATAGCTACCACAGAACAGCTATCCCACAGCTGGCCCTGAAGTTTGTGCTCCTCTCCCACAGTCAGTGCCTTTTTAGCCCACAGCAGAAGTGGCTTAAACTAAACTGAAAATAAAACAGTCTATAAGATCTATATAAGATGTTAGTCCAGAACAGCTTATCTATCTTAAATTCAAGCTATAGCTCTTTTCAAAATATGCTCCGATAGCTTCATTTAAAAGTTTTTATCAAATATAAACTGGATTCAAATATTCTAACATATATGAAATAAAAATGAAATAGATGAAACGCCTAAGAACGTAAGACAAACAAGTGTCAAGTGGAGAGTCAAACTGTAAACCTATTCTAACTTGTAGCTTACAATTCTACCTGTAGATGGAGAATTTTGATTTTTTCTTTGAGAAAATAGTCTCTAATTTGATCAGTAGTCATCACAACAATTTAAGCAGCATCTGCTTGTAGTTAAAAGCTTACAATAAAACGCTTAAAGTAGATTAAGAAATGCCTATTTGTTAACACTGCAGACAAAGTAAAATAATTGCATTGGAGAAGCATGCAACAGCTACAGTTTCCAGAACAGGTTAAAGTTTTAGTGGTGACAGCCTCAAAGCTCTTCCATTTTAAAGACCTAATTTAATTGTTATATTTCCTAGATTATCAGTTTCGATGTGAAAATACTAACCATACTAAATAATGCGTTTTTTTCTCACTAAATAATTAATACTTGTTTTTAAAATGAAGATGGGTCATTTTTCTCCCTTACATTTTAAACATGTCTGTTTCTTTTCATCTACCTGAAAATGCATTTAATCTGAATAATTATTTCTTTAGCAAGTCTGAAAACCACGTAACAAGAGAGTTCAGAACTTTACCTCCAGTTTGCCATGTGCACAGCCTAACAGCAGTAGGTTGGCTCTGTCCCTTTCACAGGAAATAGGAGACCAAGGCCATGCTCCATCAATAGCTGCTGACCACCAGCAAATGGCCAAATCTTGCATACAGTTTATTGCCAGGTGACGTTTCATCCTCCTACCTTCTAGTCCAGGTATATCAGTGTAAGAAATCTGATGGAAGAAAAAAATGCAGAAAATATTTAAGGTAGTAAAATAGCACAGGGGGAGCAATTGGGAGCATTTACTTTGCATTTGTGAAAGAGAATCCATATATACACAAAGGACTGTGCACATATATCTCCATATAGGCTGTCTGTAAGTGTGAAAAATATCTCCTTAGACAGAATGAGACATGCTTACACTTTTATCTGCGGGGAGGGGATTGGGAAGGAAAGGAATGTGAGTTAAGAAGGAATTTACTGCAATGACTCCAATCAATACCAAAATGTACAGTCATGGTTGCTTGACAACATCGACCTACACGCAGGATTTAAGCTTAGCCATATTAAATGACAAGTTCTGCCAAGCTGACCAGAGAGCTAAGGTTAGTGCTTAAGACATAAGCAAATATTAAATACATTCTATGCTGTTTGAGCAAACGTGCATCTTTCTTTCTCTTCCCTAAATTAAGGCACACACACACAAATATTCGCTTTGTAAGAGAATATATACTTTTCTGCATAATGTGGATGAGCTACAGCATCATGCGTAAAGTTTATGCAGCTCTGGAGAATTGTGCCTCTTTCTCAGGAAGGATTTGTGGAATTTATTATTCAAACTCTGTTATTTTGGAGCATGGTTATTTGAAAACATGAGCAGTGCACCATCTGGGTGACACATGCCAAGGAAATATAGATTGCACCGCATTTCTGCTTAAGGAATTAATGGAAGGTTGATAGCTAGGGGAGAAAAAAAACTATCTTGCCATTGCTGGTCAGCAATAATCGAACCACTTTCTGGGGATTAAGCGCATGGCTAAGCCTACTGGACCAGACACTAGCAAAGGGCAGGGGGTCTTCTTATCAGAGAAATGCTTCTGGAGCCAGTCTCACTACATGACAGATTGCTTTCATATTCCTGTCTGCAAGGCAACAAAGGATGGCAGTAATGCGATAATGCCAGAGTGCAATGGGTGTTAAGAACCCGTTGCATTTATGTATTGTATTTAGTAAATAATCAGGCTCATCCAAATTGTGATCTCACCACTCAACCAAGGCCATTAAAATCAAGGTTAATGCTTTAATAATCCTTTGCTGTTTTTTATATGGTCAAAAAGAACCCTTTTCTATTTGCATGGTCATAATATTATTGACCTCTTCATCCCCTGAATACACATCAAAAGGAACTGAAATCAAAGTAATTACCAATGTTGTTCTCTCACAGTAAACATTTAACTACTTGTACTGTCTCCTGCTTCAGTTAATTGAAATGGATTAAAAGTACATAGATAGGAAAAACTTACAAGAGGTCAATATTTTTAGAATATACCGTACTATTACCTGTCAAAATTCTATTTAAAAGAATAAACATAATGCATACTGAAAAGGGAACAGATAACTGCTGTTTGAATTCAAACTGTGTACAAACAGTGAATTTGGAGACAATACACTATCTGGGGATGGAAAAACACAGTACTTTCACAGATATTAATTAGAGCTGTGCTGCAGTGTGTACTGGTCATAACAATTTCACATTTAATAGCAGCTGAGAATCTTTTGTTTACCTGTCTTTACATTTTGTAATAGACATGGTGATCTCAAACATGGACTGGTGCCAACGAGGAAAGGCAAATGGCCACAGTTGTTTTTGTATTTCCCTGTACTTTAAGACTATACTGATTCACATAATAAATCCTCCTTTTTGCAAAGTGTACATAAAATCCAAGGCGTTGCAATTTAGAAAGGTGAGGCTGGAGGAAGCAATTCTTCCATTTAGGTATATACTGTGAAAAAACAAACTTTTGGATAGACATTAAAATAGAAGGAAAGCATAGTTGACTTTCTCTCACTATTAGTAGCACTCTGGCAGTCTAGCACTGCCTGAAGTTCCCTGTCAATTTTACCCACATTAGGCTGGACACCAATCAATGTGAACTTGCATCTGTCCATGTTCTAAATAAATTAAAATCTACATATGACAGACATTTAATTACATTGAAACATATTACTGCTAGCAAGCATTTTCCTCGTTTTAAAAACAGAAACTGAAACCCAAATACCGCGTACCTTTTTCAAAGCTGCATTGAAAGTGAGAGGCAAAGATGAAAGCTATACTCAAATTTCCTGAATCTTTGTTCTACATTTTAATCCTATGGTAGTTCTATACCAGTGCAAGTTACCTTCTAATTTGATTGCTCTTGAAAATAATATCAAGACTAAGGAACTGGGGTTTTTTAAAGTGTGTATTGTTTGCACATTTGCAATTGAGGAAGATCTTTTGTTTCTTTTTTTATTATTGTTTCTTTTGTTAGTAGATTTTGTAAGTTTGACCAGCAGCAGCCATGAAGAACTCTAATTCAAATGCAGAGCGCTGACATAATATTATTTCAGTAGTGAATAATAGTTTCTGCTGGCTCACACTAGTGCACTTTTGAAGATAATAAAAATTATATTTAGCTGCCTAACTAGAAAGCTTCACATAAAGGAATATTCAATTAAAAAAAATGCAAATGCCTTTTTTTTGGCTGGCAAAGAAATAATCCACAGTGATTCCCACTGATTTCAAGAGAAAGCAAAGTTCCTGTTGAACACAGAGGTGTTTCTAGAAGCTCAGCTGTGTGAGCAAATAAGTGAACGTAACAATCCTATTAAGGAAGCCAGTAGATATTTCTGGTTTCCTAGGGCAGAGACACTTTTCTATGGATTAGGCTTTCCTTCTTTCCCAAGGAAAAAATGGCAGAACCATGAGATCCAAAACGGACACAGCAATACCTAGAATGAAAATATATTTTCTAAGTGTAACTACAGTAAGGAGCTACAGCCCTTACAATTAAATGAAGGCAATCTTCAGCTTACCACTTTCTTAGTTAGAGTTTACAGCTATTAAAAAATAAAAACCACAACCACCTGCCAACCTTGCTTCTAAGCACAGCCTTAACAAACACTGTAGGCCAGGCACAAGTGCACATCATTTTAAAGTAAACTACGTATCAGCTCAGTTCCTGGTGAACAGTGAACTGTCTCAAATCCACGTTATAGAGGCAGGATCAATCTCGCAAACACAAATCATTGCTGAAAAGAGGCCCTGAACTGAAACAGCCTGGAAAATGTTTTAGATATTCATCCTAGCAGAAAATATTTCTACCAAGCAAGTTAAAATGTAAGATGGCAAAACTTAAACATATTCTTAAAAATCTTGCCTTGAAGATGCAAATTCTCTACGTGAGGAACCAAACTACTAAGGGGGTGCCAAAGGGAAACCGTTTGCTAGCACAAGTTGTCCTTAGTATTTATTCAGTTTTAAATAAATACAAAATCACTCTTTTGCTCACTACATCTTTCTACTCTTCTTGACCAAAGGCTTGCCACTTCATTTTTCTTGCAGTGAACGGTATGTAAAAATGTGTTCCCTTTATGTGATTATTTTGTTATACTGCTGTAGTACCGAGCACTTCCACCTAAGGTCAGAGTTACGCTGTCCTGAAGCCAAAGAGCTTTAGTGGAAATAGGATATGCCTACATAACCCAATCCACCCAAGAAGCAGCAGAATTTTGCTTGAAATGAATGGGTTTCTACTGACACCCAAACCAGTCAGTTTAAATGTGACTGCCTTTCTGCTTCTGCTGTGACTGTGGTATAGATACACTCATACATAAAAGGCTGGAACAGGGGGCATTTTAATCTATGCTATATAAATGGGGAATTGAGATACAGAGACATTAAGTCACTTGCTTAAGGTTATATATATATATAATTTGTCAGTGGTGAGAAACTCAGCTCCTGTATTTTGAGCCCTATCTCAGCAGCTTAGTTGCAAAACCAACTCTCCTAACAATATGATTACTGTAAGTAGAAATTAAGACTTGTGCAGTTACAACAGCCTCAGACAGATGACTGAATAAACACGGCCTCACGAGTTTGTGTATATCAGCTGAGCTGTAGTAATTGACCATGCGTGCATTTTTAGCCCACAGCAAACAAGAGGCAAAACACATTAGCTTAAGTCTTTTACACTGAGCTCTACCATTACAGGTTTTACTTCATGCCTGTTAGATGCTGAGAATGTGCAAAGGGTCAGTTACTGCTGCTCAGCTGACATGAGGTAATCTGTTAAGCAGGGGTAACTCAACTGTGTGTTGAGCCCTTAGCCTAAATAGAACCGAGCAGAAAAGTGGATTCCTCTTGGTAGTTTTAATTCATTTAACTCAGAATGCCATGTATTTTATTTTTTTACTTTCCAGTAACTGTCAGTTTTAGGATTTCAATTGTTCTGATCAGTTATATAAAACTTCAGCGAGTGCCAGTGATTCATTATGTAACATTACTGTAATATAGACAGTTACTATTGACAGCAATACCTTAAAATCCAAACAAGAGAGTTTCTCATGTTTTCTTCTGTTTACATCAGTAGAATCCATCTTCTTTGTAAACTGAATGAAACAGAGTTGGTTGTAGTCCTCAAATGACAAGATGATGAAATTGTCCGAAAGAATACCTGGAATAAAAAAAAATAATGCCACCGCTATTTCTAGGAACAAAAGAAATTACTGAAACCTCCACTGAGACACTGCAAAAAGCAATTCTTTCAAGACACAGTCTTAAATGTTACGCTGAAGCCTCTGTAATCTCCTAAAAGACATCCATGTGTCATCCTGCCAGGACCTTCTTGGAAATGAGAAATAAAGCTTAGAGAGTAGTCAGATTACATAACCCTGCATAAATTATCTCACATCAAGCTACTGCTACATTCAGGTATACGTTTTATGCCCTTCCACATCCATTTTCATCACAGTTTTTTCTATAGTAACATTTTTTTCTATGGTAACATCCACCAGTGCTCTGGAAGGGCACCTAATGCAGCACTGCCAGTTTTGAGGATGATAAAGGCAAATTAGCACTTGAGGTGTACCTGGTGTTTTGACACTGCAGGTCTGTGTCTGTTACATACAGAATTATGCTTCAGAGAGGTTATGTACTTGTTGAAAGCTTAACTTGTGGGTACCTGAGCAACACAGAAAACCAAGATGGAATGGATTCCCTTGAAGTCTGAAAAAGTGCAGTGGAATGGTTCAATGTAAAACTGATTAACAGACCAAAATAGTTCAATATAAAACTGATTAACTAATTTGACAATGAAAATTAATTAGACAATGCTATCTAGGATTTTTCCCAAGTGTTATCCAGTTATTGAAACACTGCTTACATTTAAAGAGATATTTGAGAATGAAATGTGCCATCAGGGTAACTAGTACCAGATTGCTGAAGAATTGTTAATGAGAATCAGGATTAATGTAAAGCTAGCAAGCTGTTTTCAGAAAGTAAACTCAGAAACTGGAAAATGCTAGGAAAATTGGAACTGGGTTTAAAAAACAAAATCCCTGCAGAACAGCCCAGGAAAAAAAAAAAGCATTTGTGACAAATATCCTAGATTTTTGAATGCATTTTTAATATCCTTAACTAGTTTCTGTCAGCAGCTGAGTCTTAAAGGTAAGCACTGAATACTGACTATTCAGCTGTGCTTTGATTTAGCCTGTTTTCACAACCAGTTGCATTTTCCAATGGTCATGTACTGGCACAGCTCTGAACTATCCGGTGTGCAAATGCCAAGGGGTAAATTTAAAGTTCAAAAATTGCTTTTGAAATTTTACATTAACACTACCTTTTGGGGAAAAATAAAAAGTCATCAAGTATCTGATGTTGGGAGTTAGAAGCTATAACTGAGCTCCTAAACACACGTGAAAATTCAAAGTCACTGAGTGCGTAGCTGCAATATGTACCCAATTAAAATATTTTTTATATCCTCACATATATACATATATATATATTGTATATATGTATATATATATATATATACTGTATATACATATACATATATATATATATATATACATACTGTATATATATATATATATACAGACACAGCGTACATTAAAGATGATCTACAGCACACATCCAGTGCTTCCATAACTTGCTCTGATTGAAGAAAAGAAAGCGGGGTTGGAAGATCCCTGGGCAGGTGTGGATGAGACGAGCAGCGCTGTGATTTACAGCAACCGCGGCTGCGGGGCAGGAGTGGAAGGAGCAGGAGTGCAGTGCTTGGCCATGCTCAGACCGCCCGGCTGTGCAGCCAAAAGGCTCTGCTGGAGGACGGCACGGGCTTGGGGCAGAAGACTACACACAGATAAGATACATGAGGTGAAAGATAAGAAACTACAGAGGGGTGATGCACATCTGTTATTGCTTTAATAACAATAAAATAAACGTGTATGATTCATGGCATAAACACTGGAAGGTTCTGTCGATATTTTTTTCAACATCAGAAAAGCAAGCTTAGAAATTCTGATGCCAATTAGATCTATGTGAATGCAACTGCGGGCATAGTCATGCCATTATTCAGAGAGGTGCCCTATATTATGCTGCTGGGTCTGATTACCCTACAGAGATGGGCAGTGCAGACAATATCCTACGCACTTACTCAAGGCCTCAGTGCCACAAAACAAAGTGACAAATACTGCTGTCTTTCAGGAAGGCAACTTTTTAATAATTTCTAATTAACTTCTTATAAAGATTATTATTTTACCTACATGAAAGTAAACTTTAAGAGAGCTTTAGTGGAGGCATGAGGATGATAAATGTAATCTTAATTCTGTGCTTCATGCATACAATCTGACTTCTATTATTCTACATATTAAGAGGGCATGCTACTCTGAGACATTACAACGTCAAGGTGGTAGATTTTAATCCTTATCCATTTCAACATATTCATGTTATATATATATATATGCATATATATATATATACACACACACACATTATTTTCAAACACATTTCTTGTATTAAAAATCAAATTGCTTTTGAACAAATCTGATTCCAATCCAGATTTGGAAAGATAGGAAATGATGCTGGATTAAAGTTAATTTATTCTAGGACAACTTTATGTCTTAGCTCACAGTGAGGTGAGTTCGGTGTAACAAATTGTATTTTGAACACCATTTCTGTGGGTAAAAAAGTATCTACTTTTATTGTTCATTAAAAAATATATATTACAATGACAGGTAATTGGAGGTTTTTTTTTTTACTGAACAGAAGAAGCCCTGTTTCACCTTCAGATGTGGACATTAATAAACACTTGAGTAAGTGAATAAAAGGATAAACTATTACATAACCTTATTTATAGCAGTTTGAGTATATAACTGTAGAAAAATGTATTTGTTGCTTTATTATAGTGTTCAAATTTTCTAAGCAGTAAGGTTTTTTTAATTGTATTTATATAACACTCTAACACAATGTAATGCATTGTACAGATAACTTAATTATTTACTATTTATGAAGTAGTAAAAATTTAGAAGAGAGGGTAAATTCTACATAAATTCTAACAAACAATTTCAATGTGGGTATCACTGAAAGCTTTGACGCTTTCCTACTTTTTGCCACCTTCAAATATGAAGTCCTCCCTCTAGAAACAACAGGGAAAAAGATCAGACAACCGAGTAGTCTGCTAACTAGGGGAAGAGGGAAAAAAATAAACTCATGATGCTAAGTGCATTCTACAACTTCATACAATAAGTGAGGTTAGGGTTCATTTTTACTGGATCCAAAAGATTCAACTAACATAGTTATATTAATGATATTTTTCAGGACTAAACTTATAGATAAGAAGGACATTGTGGGTTTCTTAAATAGCCAGGTCAATAGACAATAGATGCCTGAGTGTGGTTGAGAAGAAATCATTAAAGGTTAAAGCTAAATCTAGCATATATTGATATTAAAAGAATGTAATTTGGACCTACTTTTTAAGAATTTGGAAGATACTGTGAAATTCCCTACTCTTGATCATGCAGATGCCAAGATACTGACTTCTGGTTGTCAGTGGAGCTAAGTAAACACACATTAAAAAAGCTATAGTTGTATTTAAATGCTGTTAAAAACAGGTACCTTTTTTTCCCTTTGCACTAAATAAAATCTTTATAATTAGTCATTTGTTAATCATGACGGTGAGATGCTGGAAATCCATAAACTAAACCAGAACACCTCCACCTAACTAATGTTATCCATTATATTTTCTAATAAAATATTTTAATAACAACTATTCCATGTAATTAATCAGTTGGGTAGAGTTTCTTTCTGTTCCATTTTCCCACTTATGAAATAAACAGAAGTTCAGATGGCATGTCTATAGCTATTAAAATGTGTAATTTTAGAAACCTATTCAGTATTTGACAAGCCTGAAAACTTTGATGTTAACTATTATTCTTAAAGTGTTCTTAGTCCTGAGGGTTGTAACTATGGCATTACATGCAATTACTTGTTGTGTTCGCAAGTCCCCAGTGGCAATAATTAGTCTACCTGTTGACATACTGTTTCTCTACTCCATTGTTAATGTAGGCAATTGATTTGCACGTGGGTGTAATTACCATCGCTGATGGTGTCGGAGATGAGCTTCCCCACCAGGGTCCTGTCAATCATCACTTTCTCCAGCTGTGGCCCAGAAAGGCTTAGGGAGACCAGTATACCCGAATGAAAGAGGAGCTAAATCCAAACAGTGAGAAAACAAGACATCAAGAATCATTAATAATACGAAACGTTCCAAGGTAGGTATTAGCAGCTGTTACGTAGCAATTTTATTTTCAAAATCATGAAGACTTTTATCTTAGATGTGAAGATGTCTTATAATAACCCTGAAAGCTTTTTCAATGAAAAAGAGAGGTGTAATATGACACTGAATCATGTGGCTACAAGAATTACAAATGAGTAACAATTGAAGATGGTGCATGCTGGGTCCCTAAGTGTTGAATACAATGTACTGAATTTGCCTTCTGAAAAACAAAAGTAAATTCTGTCCTGAATGTGGGATAAATTGATCACTCTAAACTGTCAAGAAATGATTCATCTTACATTTCTTGCTTTTACTTCTTCCACGTCATATTTAAATGCTTAATTATTAATTAATTATACCATTATTTGTTAAGCATTTAAATATGCTTTTATTTAATGCTTATGTATTATTATTTACATGCTTCTGTATATGGATAGTGGGTCAAGAATTTCCAATACACTCAATAATGTGGGGCATGCTGCAGTTTTCAGCTACTGAACTTGAGACACTGTAAAAGCCATCCATAGACCTTCAGAGTAAAATGTTTTTCTAATGTGTTCATACTGTCCCTGTCACCACTTGATTTCACTGTTAAAAAAAATGTAACAGCATAGCTTGCAATAAAAAAAAGCACACAAGCTTACACTTCACGTAGTTTTATATTACTTTCAGAGATTATAAAGAGCACCTTTTTGCTAAGTCCAGTTATTTCTGACCATTTGTATGCTGTTTAACTTAAATAACGGAACTCTACCATTCTCATAGGTCTGGGCTCCTAATAAATTCATATACTCCCCTTCACATATCATCAGACACGTCTCCCTTAGAAAGAAGAAACTTAAACTACTGGACAGAATATTCAGAGGCTTCTCTCAGTGCTAACTATTTCTGCCTAATTAGTGTCAATTACATTATACGTCTAATCTCAAAGAATAAGTCACATATTTATCAGCTCTTCCTGATGCCAAGTCTTGCATGAGAGAGATAACGCACAGTAGGAAGTGTCACAAAAAACATTACTTTCTGCATAATTAACTCATTAAACTTGATAACTTCCTGAATGCAACTATTAGAACAAAACCATTCACAACAAACACCAATCCTCCCAATCTTGAATGGTATTTACTTTGCCAACTTTATTTCAGTATAAGAAAAGCTTTCTAAGAAAAATACTGCTTTCTTAGTAACAAGGTGAAAGATGTTATCAGGGTTTTTAAAACAATCTGACCATATAATTGTTTATCTCGTTCCCAAATTTGGGCTCTGCAAAAACCTTGATGTAAAAACAATGAAAGATTTGATGAAAAATGACTTTGATCTTCACAGGCAGTACTGCAAAGAGATGAGCATTTTAATTTATCACCTAGTTCCACCTCTGATCCCACATGCTGCAGGAATAGATGACCTCAGTGTAGAAGTTAAAGACATTTCAGATCAGCTCTAGCTCCTGGCATATGGTTGCAACTCTGAAGGACTCATCCTGGCAGATGGGTTCATTTCCCTCTGATCACTGAAAAAAAATTAGTTATCACTTCAGCAGAGACCACATCAGCCTAAAAACTGAGCAATCTTTTCTGGCAAAGGATGCTCTGAGGATAAATGACTGAAGAAATATAGCAGGGACTCAGCAAAGGCCAGAAGTAAGCAGTTCCAGCTCTTCTGCCTAAAAGCAGATTTTTAATAAAATCTCAGTACTTTTTTAAAAAACTTTCAACTAGTGAAATGATTGTCCTTGCAGTAAAATTTGGCTGTTGGTTTCATGCTATAATTCTGACACAAATGTAGTTGCAGCTTAGTTTTTTTAATACAACACACCAGCACGAAAGCACCAGGCAAAGTGCACAAGAAAATATAATACTGGGAGAGATGAGGTGAGACACCACACCTCCTCTGTCTTTTTCATACGTTACAGACAACAATAATATAATTGATCTGAATCTCCTTTAGCTTATGGATACATTACAGTTATTTTTTCCTCTGTTTCACATGGTAGTGTTTCAAAGTCAAAAGGACAAATATGTCATGCAACTCCGCTAGAGCAATGGAAGTGCTGGAACCAGAATGCAGCAATCTAATGAAGTTGCCTCAGTTCCCAACTGTTTAGCTATGAAAACTGTCAACTCTACCTATTTTGTTATTACTTTATTTCTGTGCTCTCTGCAGCAAAGAACAGGACCAGCATATTTAAATAGATTAGTTGCTTGCCCTAACTAATATTTTCAATCAATGTTTTTTCAAGTCTATCTTCCTGCCAGCTCACAGTAGTTCGAAAACAAATTCCAGCAACTTCTGAAATAAAAACAAAAAATACCTATGATATAAAATTAATTTGTTAAGAACAAATGATTTCTTTTCCCATCCTACCAAAGTCTACATACACTGGTTTGAAGCACACACATACACACACATACAAATATATATATGTACGTATAAAGTGTTTCGACATTCTCTGTCATGACAGATGTCCTTTAAGGTTTTGTCCTAGTAAAAATATTAGACACAGTTACACTCATGCAGCTCTTATTAGAGTCTTTCAAAACTTCAATTTATCCTCACGTTGAAGTTAGATTAGATAAAATCGCAATTTATTTCCAACTTGATAATGCAAGTCTAGCAAGGTCTGACTATGGTTAGCTATAAGCGTCCAAAGAACATAGTTGAAAAAGTGAGGGTTGAAACACAGAAGTTGACAAGCTACTGTGCAAGAAAATAGTTATCAAGCAATATTACATAAATATGCTAAGACAAGCAGTTCTAAATTTTCCAATGAATATCAGACAGCCAGAGAAGAAAAAACACTGCAAATCCTTCAGTATTATGCACCGATTGCTAGTGCAATCACATACTCCCCATCTTGCATCTTCCCCACCACCTTTGCTTAGGAGCTATGCTCTACTTGCAGAAAATGCTTCTGTCTGGGTAGGAGAGTGTGAGTTGTTCCCATGCTCAGTCTCCTTGCAAAGGCTGAGGAAAGTATACTGGAGTCAAACCAGGAGGATGGCCTTGGTAAATCAGAAGTACGTAGACTCCTGGTTTACCTGACAGAGTAGGGATAACACACGGACTCTCTCCAGGTAAAGCCCAGAAGAAAAGTGTGTTGTGGTCTGTAGCCAGCCATTACACTAATGAGTGAGCGCATTACGGAATGAGGCCATGTGTTTGTCATTCTGCTGACATTTAATATGCCCATGCAGTATGCCGTGTAGAGACATGCTTGCAACTCCTGGCTTGAGAGAAATAAAGAAATACAAGGTTAGGCTTCTTTAACTCTTACACGTTTCCAGGTATACATTTACTTTCTGCTGATATGTTCACTTTCTTCTGATGATGTAAGTCAAACCTGTTACAGAGCTAGAATGGACACCTATGGAGACTTTTCCACAGTGAATGATGAGACTCTCATATAAACAAAATTATAGTATGTTCATCCTTCGTTTTACACGTATGAAACTGGTCGCTGAACCAATGCTAAGTATTTTCAATACTGCATAGAAAATAGGTTAAAAAAATTAGTTTGATGGCTTCTATTTTTATTTCCTTTCCTCTCCCTTTTTACTTTGCCAGTAAAACATTTCTTCCTATTATTCTCTGCAGAACTTTGAGATGTTTAGGCAAAGCTTAATATTCAATTCAATTAATTTTTGCTATAATAATTTACTTATCATGTCTGGTATTACATTTGTGCTCTACAGGTTTAAATCCTTGCCTCTAGAAATTTTAGAGTCCAAATCAAAGACCTTACACATGACCTTGTAATGGTAGTATTTCTTAGAATCATAGAATCCATAGAGTTGGAAGGGAACTCTGGAGGCCATCTAATCCAACTCACTTGCAGTGAACAGGGACATTCTCCTCCTTTTAAAAATCTTTCTGATTAGAACAGAGGAGTCTTTAAGAGAATCCTTCTGAGAGAGGCATTTCAGAACGAAAGAATATATCGAAGGGAAAAAAAGTGATTAACTGGAATTCAAGACAGTCTATTCCAAGTATAGATGGTGACATGACAGAAGTTACTAAGTTCAGTACATAACATACATATGAAGCAAACGGTTAGCTGCAAAATAACTACTTTGACATTTCTCAGATGAAGCCATAATGTTTGCATCTGTCTTTTACAATACATGAATGCGATGTTAGAAAGTAATACTAAAACTTTTCTTACAGGATAAATAATATTGGGAAATGAAAAACAAACAGTTAGTAGAAAAGACCCACAATTAAAATGTTACAATGCAGAGAACATATTTCATAAAGTTCTTGAAGTTTGCCATGAAACACAAGCAAATATTTAAATGAAGTTGTAACACATTATCTTTTATCAACAATATTCTAAAAAACAAAATATTTATCTGCTCGACACTAGTTCAATTCCTTATACCCTGTGTGCAAAGACTGCCACATGATAATAAGATCTAGGTGTTGTACATGTACTTGTGCAGTTAAACTCATATTCTGGTGGATGGGAGCAGTCCAATGATAAGCATGAATGAATGTAGAGGAAATGGGAAAGACTGCAAACTTGGCTCACACACAGATACACAGCATTCCAACTCTAAGAAGTACCGCTCAGGGGAATTGCTCATCATTACCAAGGAATAAAAGCAAATGTCAAAGGCGTTATTTATACCTGGCACAAAGTTATTCCATTTGTGAGATATCAAATTAGGAGGGAAAAAAACCCACATGAATGAAATAAATCATAAATCTTTCAGACTGAAGTGCTGTGATGTGAAAAATGGGAATCAGAAGAGACATTGATACAGCTTTAATAGTCTCAAAGTGCTCTTAAACATAAGAACATGACATCATGCCTACTTGGAAGAATATTTTTTGCTTGAACAAAGAATGAGCTAAATGTTTGGGCATCTGGTGAACTTGAAAGAAAGAGCCATGTTACCAGGAAGCTGAACAAGAAGACTTGGTACAGGGAATTACGAACTTTGTGTGCCAAAATGGCTCTAAGATGGGCAAGCAAGACATTTGAAGGAGAAAAGGATACTCACAGAATGGCAGAGCCCTTCCTTTCAAAGTGCTCCATGTGTGTATTACTTTCTACTAAGCAAAGAACTTAAGTACATACTCAAAACCGATGAACTTCAGTAGATCTTGAGCATGTACTTAAATGAATTCCTTTATCCTTGGAAGCCATAGCCCTTGACTCCTCATTCATGCAGCTTAGCTGCTTATCAGCCCCTCTACCTAGAAAGATACCTGCAGAGCAAAGCCAGGATTTGCCTCTATCTGATTAAAATTGGAAGAGAAGAAAAATATGCCTGTAAAAAAAATACTGCTCCAAACTGTTTTCCCTTACAGAGTCCAACTGACAAAAGAATATGCAAAAGGAGAAGAGAATTGCAAAGCACTTCTTGTTCAAGCAGGTTCCCAGGGTTTTTCCCCACCTCTTCATTCCAGCTTGCTTTCTTAGCCACCCTACTGTAATTACTCTGTTGCATGCCTTATTACAAATGAAGTTACTGTTGTTACATGTTACTGTTTCACAACAATCAATGCATTTGTATTCCTAGCTCCAAATCTCTCAAACCACACAACACAGTAATAGTTGTGATCAAAAGCAACCAAAATAATTTAATAGGAGGGCAGTGTTCCTCTTATTAACTGGTGATGGATACTTGCTTCTCATGTATTCTAGACCTAATGTCTTGATTTTTATATCAGTTGCACTACTGTATGTCACCACATATCTTGCTAAATCAGTTTGCTTATGGGCACAGTAGCTGATATAACAAGCTGTGTCAGCACATACTGCTGTATCTCAATTCAGTTTTATGTATGTCAGTGATGGTAACCTAAAAACCATTCGTGTGCTTATGTAAATTGCAACACAAATCAGGTTAGATCATAGTTATTAAGCACAGAATATATAAATCTTTTTCATTAGCAGGTAACTGATACGATTCACATCCACTGCTTGGCACTTACTTATAAAGTAAAACAATTCTCTGTTAGCATGTACTCAATTCTACACTGATACACAAATGTAAAAAAGTTGGAAATCAAATATTTCAGCTACATCATACTAATTCCTACAACCCTATGTTGTTAAACCAAACTTGAACCAACAGCATAATTTCATAAGACTAATTTCATGATTTTATGGTAAAACTTAAAAACATTCCAAAGAATTAGAGGAGACCATGGAAGGGAAGAAATCAGAACTTCTTCAAGCTATACTTGAAAGTATTGATAAAGTTAATTCCTTAGATTATTACTTTCAGACAGGGAAAAGCAATTTAATTATAAACAATACTGTGCCCTTTTATTGTAAAGGCCTCTTGTCTTTTTTCTGTCACACTTCTTTTATGGTCTGTTTACTTTCTTTTGACACCAGCTAACAGAAGATTACAGGATTATTTCAGCAGCTCATCACAGGTCATCAAAGTTGGGGTTCAGAAGTACTGTAAAGAAATGGTGTGCATTCAGATCCTACTAGAACTAGTAGCAATGAAGTTAAAGAAAAGAGCTCAGCCCTTTAGGGTTCAACTAAGCTCTTTTAAATAGGAGTGTAAATTCCTTGAAAAAAATCTCTATACAGCCCAGGCTATTTTTACATGAACTGGCACACTTTCTATTTCAGAAGCTCTAAGCACTACCTGAATAAAGACTGGAGACTGCAAAAAATAAAGGTCAATAAATTTTCTTTAGCAATGCACTGATTGTGCACAAAAAATTAATAGGAGAAATGTTGATGCATAAAATGAAACATTAAGAAAGGTGTAAAGCTGGGACAGTACAGCTTTAGTAGTAGTTCTAGGCAAACTCATCCATAAGAGCCAATTTTGAGAAACCCATGCATACAAAGCATAATCTGCATGCAAGCTATCTATATTTTTCAGTGAAGGCTAATTGGTCATTACATGCAAACTTATTTTTAGAAGATGCACATTTAAATTTACAAACTGTAATTTTTGCCTCTGGGCTATTTAGAAGCTAGAAGATTTGGAGGAGGCAATGAGGGATTAGTAACAGTGATTTTTAGGTTCCAGAAAGCACTCTAACTGCAGTCCTGTGCTGCTTTTTTTTTTTTTTTTTTACAGTATTGCTATCATCCTATCTCCTTTCAGAAGGATTTTTTCCTTCTATTCATTCTGTCTTACTAAAGACACAGTGACCACTGAGTTTTCACATAGCATATCTTTATTACAAAGGAAAGGGAACGCTTCCTGATTCAGCTAGAGATACAGCAGATTCAGACACACAGAACAAACATTGACAAGAGAAACGGCTGTTATTAATTACATACATATAAAATAATTAATAATTAATTAATAGAAATTAATTATTTTAATTACTACTATAGAATTTATTTGGCATTACACTACTATCATAGAATGGAGAGCTAAAAAAATGAAGATGCTAGAATTCAAATCACAGAATTATAGAACCACTAAGGTTGGGAAAGACCTCCAAGTTCATCCAGCCCAACCATCCTCCAATGATACCCATTAAACCATGTACCTTAGTAACACATCTACACATCTCTTGGCCACCTCCAGGGATGCTGACTCAAGCACCTCCCTGGGCAGCCCGTTCCAGGGCCTCACCACTCATTTGTATCAAACTTAGCCCAAAACACTGAAAATTATGACAGACCAGTTTATTCCATGCTTTCCAGGTTGTTGTTTTCTACTACATTTGAAAGTTAATGCAAACACGGTCTCTCCTTTTTCCATGAACAGCTGCTCTGGTATCTATCCAAAGCAGAATGTGATTACATTTGTGCTGTTGTAAGGATCACACCATTTCTACTGAATCAGTCTCCTGTTCTAAATTAAAAAAAAAATGAGTGGATAACCTCTTTTTCAGAATTTCAAAACGTGACTTTTTTTTCCTGCACGAATGTTCAAAGGCAAATGAGCAGTGCAAATATAACCATTGATACAAGACAGGTTTCCTAATTGAGATCCTTCCGAACTATTAATTTTTCATGTTTTATTTTCATTTGTTGGGCAGCTTATATTACTGAAGAAGACAAGGTGGAATATCATCATGGTTTTGGCAGAAAATTATAAATGCTGTTGGCGAGCTCAGTTCTAAGTCATTACTATATTATAAATATTTTATCTTGTGATTGAGAAACCAAAAGTAAAATTTAAGGAGAAAGAGATGAATAGGATTTTTATCTGTAACTTTAACTCCGGCTACCTACTATAGATGTCATCTTAAAACCTTTTAAAATTACTCAATTTTTTATGTTCTATCCCTTTATACAATTCAATCCAATATAGAGCCATCTCTCCTATTTCTCATTATGAACAACTAATAAGTTAACTTGTATTGTCTGCTCTTTGTTTATATAGGCCTGAAATTATTTAGAGGACGTTAAATTTAAAAATAGTGTTTTATACACAACTGATTGTCAAATAGAGATGTAATAAAGAACAACCAAATTTTGGCAAGAAGTGCACTGTTCCAAAGTGTGCATTGGTAAGGGATGCAGGTCTATGCATATATAGAGACAGGAGGAGAAGGAAAATGATAGCAAAAGGGACAGGGAAAGCAAATGAAGACAGCAAACTGACAAGCAAATGAACACACTTACAGCTAATTGACTTAGTATTTCTTAACCACATTCCTTTTCTAATCAGAACAATAACAACAGAAAAAAATTCATATAAATTAGCATGCAATTAATATGTAATCCATTCTAGAAGATTAACGTTCACCGATGAATAATACGTAATCGGTATACGAATTATATACATTTGTTAATGATAAGATCTGATAGGCTTAGACAACAACATCCTTATTATTGATACAAAAAGACTTTATAGCACGTGATGTGTCAGGTGCTTAGAAAAACCTTGCTGCTCCTAAAGACTTTTCAGGAATTTCAGCACTATTTTTCAAATATTTAACAGTCATCCAGTTGATTTCCATTTGAAACTACTTGGATTAGAAAAAAAAATTACGAAACTAAAAAAGGATGAAAGTTAAAACTCCATTTCCTTTGCAAACAGTAACACAAGTATCTACAATGCAAAGTTAGCTTTAAACACGCACATTCCTCATAAATGAAGGCTGTAGGAACTTTTAATGTTACAGATGTCTTTCAGAGCAAATTCTTGATTAAGAAGCTAAAGCATATGCTTAATGTGCCAGTCTCCCACCAATCCTACTACTTTGTGTTAATGATGATGTGAAAAGTTATTTTTTGTATACAAACATGGAACTTAGGTAGACAGAGAACATATATACATGTGCTGCATATCACAATATCTTCTGCTCCGTTACTTTATTTAGCTAGCTTAGGCTTACAGTCTGCCTTCCATACTATTTAAGCATAAAGTAAAAAACTTCACAACAGAGATGTAAGTAATTAAGATAAAAAATGTAATATAACAGATTCCAGACTTGTCTATATATTGTAATCATTCTCTTAGCCTGCTTTTCCAAGGTTTAGGATGCTTTCAGTTTTCCCCCATAATAAATTTTTACAGAATCAGGCACCGTTCATATAATTTCTCCTGTGAAAAAACCCAGATTTTTGTTTTGTAATATCTGTTTCATATTAGGAACTTAAATAAACACAATCTAGGTAAGAAGAGCCTCATACATTAAAAACCCCGATGACTTTCAGTATTATTTAACGTGTTAACGCTATCACATCCATCACTGAATGCTTGTTCAGCTTCACTGAATGAACACTGCAAGACCTAGTCAAAACATTTTACCTGGCAGATACATTTGTTCTTCCATTTGCTCAGCACACATCGACCGTTTTGCATTAAGTCCTAAAGGACAACAAAAAACAGAGAATGGAATTGGCAGTATGCATTGCCGACATCAGTTAACCTACTTTGGATTTTCAAGTTTATAGATGAAGTATGCCACACCAAGATCCAGCGGTCCTGGAACCGCCTGCCAGACAAAAGCGCATTTATCAACACAGGGACAGTTGGATCTTGATGAAAATTAAAGCTGTTGAAAGGGGTTTGAAAACCAGATCATCTGTTACCGTTTTTGAAAGTTCTGAAACATACCTCAACCTCCTTCAGTGTATCTCGCAGTTTTTCTGGTCGTTTGTTTTTCAGTATCCAAGGGTAATCTCGAGCTGGCAAATGAAAGAGGCAAAAAAGGTTTTTAAAAGAAAAATTATGTATAGGTGAGTATATATATATATATGTATATGTATATATATATATATATACATATATATATATACATATATATATATATATACACACACACACATGTGAGTGTGTGCATGTGCTTGTGCGCATGCAAACAGCCATTAAATATAATAAAAGTTCTACAAGTTGAACTTCTTTTGCTGTGGAAATACAAACTAGGTTTTCTAGGAGATACCCTAAACACAAGACTTACCTATAATTGGAAGGGAATGGCTATGGTTTCTATTGTTAAGTGATTTCCTTTTGAAAAGCTCGACTGTAGGAACAGTTAGCATAAAATATCCACACTGGCCATGAATTCACCGTAGCAATAGTGCACAAAGCTCTCAGGATGGAATATCCTGCTCAGCTGCTAAGCAATTGCAATGAGAAAGCATCTCATATTCAGTATGTTAACTCAGATTCAAGTTACCAAATCTTCAACAGGTGCTATTCTTCAGAACTAACATTTCGTTGCCCAATTTCAAAAAGCAGGCACTGACGTGTCTGCAAAACATTTATGCATGAATATATGCATATATACAGGTATTAACAACAGGTAACTGTGAACACTATAGGCTATATTATGGAGTATAGTTATTTACAGAATTTGTTCTTGGAAAATTTGTTCTTAAGAATCTGCCTAGTCAAGGAAATCAGAAACCATGTGACTTCCACAGTCCTTTAACAAAAATTATTAATATTTAGCAAAATATTTTGAAAATTGGGGGGTAATACATAAACACTGAAAACAGGAGGCAAAGCTTCCTGGAGCTGCATATCACTAGGCTCGTTTCATGGCTGAGAATCAGGCTTGTGAAACTGCATTATTTAAAAGTGAGCAGTTTTCTGTTCTTGAGTACACAATAAACAACACGAGAAATTAGAACACGTTGTCTTTTTAAAATCTAGTGCATTTAAGGGAAACTTGATTAAAAGTTTTGAGCTCTAAGCTGTCAGTTTGAACGCCAACTTCCAGACTGAATAACTTAACAGTAGTGTCTAAACTCCTCTGCAAAAAGGAGCTTACAAAAAGAGTGCTCTAGAGTGGGGGGAAAAGAAAAAAGAAAAAAGATTTCATCTACCAACAAAAGAGCACACAAATATACAACTTCTCTTTGTATTTTATCGGACAAAAGCCAGTGTTGGTGGAACTGTTACGATAATATTAATTAGGCATGTAAGATCGCATTTTCAATAATTGCCTTCATAAATACTGCAATATGTATCCACATATGCAAAATGGGAAATTGCCTGTATGGATGCTAAACTATATATATACAAATCAGCAGCCATGAATAAAGTTACCCAGCACTCCTCCTGAAGAAATGTCTGCTCTGTTTTCTGTTTAGGCCACTCCAATATTTACAACCACAAGATGTAGTAGCTTGTGTTCTTTTGCATGCTTGAGGTTTCTGTATAACTGGATTTATCTGAGCCTGCTTCTTTTCATACAGCCAGCGCCTATTCGATAATGCTACATGAAGCACAAGGGATGTAAATCCATTATGCTCCTCCCTGCTTAAAACTCTCCCCACCTTTACAGAGCTGTATTGATTCTGACACACAACCCTCCATAGCAGGTATAGATTTACCACGCAGCTGTGTGCACCTTTATAACCATCTCCAGCAGGGTTTCACCCTGCTTCAAACCTAACTTAAGGTGCTGCAAATAACTCCTCTTTCCAGAGTACACTTTGCCTTAAAAAACTGAACTGATAAACTTAATAAACTGAGCTGCTTTTAAACTGATAATGCAGGAACCATGTACACGTTTCAAAGCTAAAAATGTTCTATGAAGACAGCTGGTCATTAACCTGCAAGTTGATTTTGGATGAAAATATTTTAGCTATAATTTTCAGTTTTGAGGCAGTTGGTGTTTTGATGCAAGAGCTAAGTTGGAAAATATTTTAGGTTCATATGCTGGGTAACTTTCATTTTTGTGACTCCTCTCGATAATGAATTTGAGAAGCAATACACACTACTAACCTCAGCGAAATAGAAAAAAGACCAAGACAAAACACAAATGTGCCAGGAAGGAGTAGTTACAACTTTTCTATTGTTTTGTTAGTAATGCTGAGACAAAATGGCACAGACACAGAGTTACACTGGAAACAGCCTGACATTATTATTATTATTATTATTATTATTATTATTATTAAAGTTTTTCCAGTTGTATCATCAATACAAAACAATAATTTTGTCTTACTCTAACAAGAAACTGAGAAAACATCCTTACATTCTGCTAGCTTTTGCTTCTCTTCCAAATAACCATGCTTCATTTGTGATCCTAGAGAAAAGAACAGATGAAAAGATGCACGATAATCCTTACAACTGCTGTCAGCAAATATTAATATTAGAGAGGAGTCACATATTGTGATAAAACACAGAAATTTACCAAAAAAATTAAGACAGTCCTGATGTTTTCACCTCTTAAGTCAGATATCTTAAATTTGCAGTGAAAGAAAGGCTTACGAGGCCCAACAGGTGGGCCAGTATTACTGAGCCTCCACTCTCATCAGATAGTGAAGTGAGCTGCAACTGAACACGAAGGAGCAGCTGAGTCGGTCTATCAACAGAGGCACAGAGACAGCGGGTGACCCACCACACTGAGCCCAGGGATGCCCACACAAGCTTCCACTCCAACCTGGCTGCAAATGGGAAGCAATTCCAGCTGAAGAGACCTTTTGGCCCATCGTGAAACTTCCAGGATTAACAGGATTAATCAGATAAAGAAAATTGATCATTCACTCTGAAATGGCTATTTCAGATAGCAGTGAGGGCTGCAGGAGGCCAGACCAGCACTCGTGCATCCATGATGCCCTCTGCTGGGATGCAGCAAATCCCGAATTCCTGCAACAGCCAGCACCTGCATGCCCAGTGAAGCACAGTGTCTGAGAAGTGTCTTAGCATTCTGCAATAGGTGAAAGGAATACAGAAACAGAATATAAAAACAAAACACAAAATCCCAATAAGGTTTTGATGGCACAAAGCTTGTCTTTTATAATTTTATTTGTATTGGAGAGACAATAAATTACACACAATACATTGTTATGTAGATATTTTCCCATAGCCTTCCTTTTTCCTTTTGAGTAAAGAGTTTTTAAATACTCTGAAGTAACTTGGATAAATGAGTCTCTACTCATGCCTACTTCATAGAAATACAGAGGCACATATCAAAAATTCAAAACGGAAGTTTTCAGAGTGAACTGCCTCTGCCAAAGAACCCTGAACATCTGGAAGCCCTGTTTAGTTTTAGTTATGGGTGATTATTTTACCTGGCTCTTTCTTGTCATAGTACTGATGTACCCCAATGTCTTCATCTATATAATCAAATAGAAATACAGTTAGTTATTGATGTGACACTGGAAACAAAACATAACTTAGCAAGCAAAGCTCAGCATCACAATTCAAGCAAGCTGGAGCAAAGTACTTGGAGTTAAATTGCGAGCCAGAGTGGAAAAACTGCAGAATATACTCTGAATACCAGTTGGAGTTTCAAGAATCAGCAAGCTAGGGCTGAAGGAGCACATGCCAGGTCCTTAGATTTGTTTGCAGCTGTCATTTCACACATGCTTTGATTCTCTTCCAGCTGCCAACACTTAAAAGTGTTTTTTAACCACTTTCCTAATGACCATCTTTTGTGTTCTTTCACAACAAAAGGTAAGAAACACAGGTAAATGCAGACTGTACCTTAGAATAACAAGAAATGTTTTCTGAGGCAAGTTGAAGTCAACAGTAATATTTTTTTTAACATTTGTGGATTTCAGGAAGCTGCCTATCCAAAGGATCCAATATTGATCTATAGGTATTACTGCCTACTGTTGTACTAGATGCAAAAGCATGTATTTATTCCTATGGCTTAGGGCAAGCCCTGGCTATATACCAACAGCCTATCAGCATCAAACACAAGCGTGCACTTACCCAGAGCATCTCCCTCTGTCCTCCAGGTTCCATGGCAAAGAAATCTGGATGCTTGGGCTACCATAAGACTGTAAGCCAGCTTCTAATGTGGCTGACTGCCAAATACTTAGGTATACCATGGCAAGCTCCACCAATAGATCTAAGTCTGACTTAAATCTGCAGTGTTTTAAAACAATTTATTTGACACTGCATGTCATTCTAAATGCATTCTAAACTCAAAAGACATTATGGGGAGAAATTCATGTGCAGAAATGTAGAAAGACAATGTAAAAGATGGAAAATAGGTACAGTATGCCCACACACATATATAATTGTTACAGAACCAGAACAGTTCTCACACACAGACAGGTTGCTATGGCACACGAGTCAATATCTGAACAATAATAACACTTGATCGGTTTTCAATGAAAACACAGTACAATGGGCATGAAGTGTCATAAACAATATGATCCATTTATAACTCAGCAGGGTTTGTTTGTTCCTTTTTTTTACTTTAGCAATAGTAAGACAAAGTGAATGAAGTGTTGGTAAATAGTTTCATGTCTCCTAGAATAATCAATTAAAAATATTAGTATTTCTATGTACAAAGCTTCATATAATCATGCAAAATACCTGGAAGATGAAGCAATTTCTTATTTTCATACTAAGTACAAATCAAAATGCCACTGCAAATCAAGTTGACTACTGATCTTCATTCACCCAAATCAGTTACTATGCTGAAGCTTGAAGTCGAGTAGGGTATAGCTTCCCAAAAGTGAAAAGGCAACCAGTTAAATATAATCTCAACATTTCTGAGTTGAAAGGATGCTCCAATTCTACGATGAGATAAGCAGAGAAACTAAGTCCAAACATAATCTTGCTTTCTAATTTTCTTTCTCCTAAGCTTAAAACCTACTTCATTTAAGTATTTAGAATTTTATATCAATTTAATATTCATCAACAGGCTTTGCTATTTTGTTTTATGAACAGGTAACAGCTCACCGCTAATATGTAAGGTAGTCTTCAAAGACCACAGGTGCAGCTCAGTCAGGCAGAAAGTCATCTGATGGCAGATGGGAGCCCAAGCACTATGACAAAAAGGAAAGAAAATGCAAGAACAGATTAATTACTATCTATCACCAACGAAACCAGTTATTTTGGAAATGAATTGCTGGAAGAATCAACCACTGATGCTGTTTTGTTGTACTTAAGTTGTAGTTTTTAACAACAATAAAATGAACAATGCATGAGAAAGAACAAAATAAGAGGTCATGCATATACATAACCACTGTATACAGAGACAAATCAACATCTGCTTGAAGTCAGAGTTGCTCTTTCCATAGAGAGTAATTTTGTGCTCAATGCTTCTCATATACACTTTATAATCTACCTTTACTCTACAGTTATTACCTTGAAACATGGAAAAGTGAAGCCATTACTTAAAGATCTTCCTCAGATATGAAAATTTGACCTCCGGGGCTCATTTTTTCAGACATTGTACATAGGGAAATATCAATATAGTCATGAAACAGACGTCCTTGTAAATAAAAATAAAGTACATGAAATCAAGACTGACGAAACAGCAGACATGAAGGAAAACACAAACATTGAAAAATTACGCACATAGATTACAGTTTTAAACTGTGCTCTGCTTTGTTGAACAATCCATCTGGCTATTCTTTCTAGAGGATGTGTTGTATTTCAATGGAGCATTTCCAATCTTCTCAGATGCTACAATTAATAGACTTGCCTGCATAGTAACTTCCCTTAGGGCTCAAGTAGGCACATAGACGAATTACTTTGGTTACTTTTGCTAAACCTGAGAATCCACTGAAAGCTGGACTTGGAAGCAAAGCTTACCAAGACACAACGCACTTCAGAGCCACTGCTAGAATGATACTGCACTTCAACTTTTTTCTTGGAACTTTCTTTTTATCTTCATTTCTTTCCTATTAGTATAACTTAAACAACATTCAGATTTTCAGTTGTTGAGAAATAAACCAATTAGAACACAACTGCAGAACTCCTGCGATAAAGTCTGTGACTTCATCACATAAAGACTACCAGACAGTTCTGTCAACAGTGCTATGATGAGAAATATGTGCAAGGATCTCAGGTAGCATCAAGGAAACTATCACAGTCCCAGCAAATCTATGAGACCTTGAGGTATTATAACTGAAGCTAATATGTATGTTTTGATGCACTGCCTAATCCACTGAAATAGCAGCAAGCGGAAATAGTATTTTCTTTACACTGATCCCCAAATGTACAAAAAGTCTTGCTGACTTACTAAATCCCATAGTCCTGTAAGAAAGAAAGAAAAAAATAGCTCACAATGCACATCTAGTAAATGGAATATACTTTCACCTTGGGTGAGAATGAGATTTGGAAAAAAATGCAAAGAGATTAGCAGCGTGGTAGTCTGTTGAACATGGGAACCACTTGTGGTATAAATATGGATGAGGACAACCCCTCGTTTTTCATGTGGACTACTGTAAAAGAAGATTGTGTATTATAATTTTCTTATTTGATTTCATTTTCTTTCCTTTCTTAGAAACTGAAACAAAACTTACATTCCCCAAGGGCCCAGGGATCTTGATTAGATCTCTCACTAATAAAAAGTCACTGAATTGAGTGAACTACTCCAAATCCTATCATGGTTTGACTAAGAAAAAAATGAAGAAAAAAAAAAAGCCTTGATTGGCAGATGATCTGTTCACCTGGAAGGATGGTATAACTGCAGAGAAGACAAGTCTAGGATACTTCAGAACAACAAATAATCTAACATAACTTCCCAAAACAGAATCACAGAATCACAGAATCGTAGGGGTTGGAAGGGACCTCCAGAGATCATCGAGTCCAACCCCCCTGCCAAAGCAGGTTCCCTACAGCAGGTCGCACAGGTAGGCATCCAGGCAGGTCTTGAACATCTCCAAAACTTATATAAGTTGACATCATGGGATGTTTCTATTGTTGCTCCCCCCAGAAGACTTTCAAGCATTAATTCCTTCACTGAATGTCAATGTCACAGTGGAAATCCTCCAAAAATACAGGGAAGCTTTCAAATGGACACTAAATATTCATTCTTCAAACACATATTTTTAAAAAAAAAATTGTACCTGTAAATTTTTTATAAAAGTCTTGTATTAAAATGTAAAAAACACAGACTTCTTAAAATCTGCATTTCAGTTCTGTACTGAATATCCCAGATTAAGAAAAATTCACTGCATCTCTAAAGAAGTAAAAGAGATTTTGCCAAATAACCAGTCCTTGAATTGATCTTTTTGCTACTCCCTTTCTTTGGACCTCAAGCACTCCCAAATCAGCTAATTATTTGAATGCTGGTTCATGTTGTGTCATTGAAAGTAGCCATCTGCCCCCAGAATACTGGTCCAGTCTATCAGTATCCTAATCTGAAATATCCTCAGTTTAAACTCTACAGAGAAATTGCTTCAGTAACAAATACATTTTAAAGTCATTTTTTTTATTCAGATGAATTAATTTTCCTGTAGATCTTTTTGATGGAATATACACTAACTTTCAAAGTTAAGCAATCACAGATCACCATTTACCACATCAATATTTTCCAGCACAACGGAGATGACAGTGAGCTGTTTGCTGCTGGAAAAAAAAGTTAAGCATGAAAACATAAAGAAGCTTTAAGAAATCCACATCGTTCTTTTAAAACTGAGTAGAAATTGGGAAAAATAGGTTAAAATTAATCTATTGTTAGGGTAAAACTGGAATTCAATTTAACAGCTGATTCTTTCTCTGGCTTATGCAACACTGACTGCTTTCACAGCACCTCCACAAACAGGCAGAGATATTCTGGTGGCCGCAAAAAGCTTACTGACAAACGGAGATGTTCTGTGATGGTTTGTCTGCTCCACTATCAGTGTTCAGATTGCTTTGTTTAAAAAAAAAAAAAAGCCCAATTTAATAAATCTTTTTTCTAACCACTGATACAGAAAATAAGCACCTGGTCACTCTGTAACATCAACAAATGCTGAAACTGATATCAAGGGTCCACCCTGACACCTTCAGTTTAACTGCTGCTGTGCCAAACAATTAGGAATTATGCCCTGCGTGGGATATTCAGAGCACAGTTACTTGGCAAAGCAGATGCTTGTGGAAGGCAAAGCCCATTTCACAAGAATGAAGCCCTCAGAATATTTTGTTGAGAACACGACATGCTGACTACAACAGGCTATCTGAATTTTGTCATCTATGTGCCAGAGGCACATACATTGTTCCAACATTGTTCCAAGCCCCCCCAACAGTTAAGGCTGCAACTGCAGTTAAAGACATGCTACCCCAAATGGACTGCCATAAGTCCTTGGGACCAGACAGGATCCATCCAAGGGTGCTGAGAGAGCTGGCAGAGGTGATAGCCAAGCTGCTTTGCATCGTCTATCAGAGTTCCTGGTCAAACAGAGAAGTCCCTGAGGATTGAAGGCTTGCCAGTGTCACTCTCCTAAGGGCCATAAGGAGCATCTGGGGAACTACAGGTCTGACCACAGTGCCAGATAAGATGCAGCAGATCACCTTGAAGGAGATCACACACCATGTGAGGGACAATCGAAGGACCAGGCTCAGCCAGCATGGGTTCATGAAGGGCAGGTCCTCCTTGACCAACCTCATATTGAGTGACCTGCCTGGTGGATGAGGGAAAGGCTGCTGATGTATTCTACCTGGGCTTCAGCAAAGCCTTCAATACTGTCTTCCACAGTAATCTCCTGGAGAAGCTGGCAGCCTGTGGCTTGGACAGGTACTCACTTTGCTGGGTGATATTGGTGATAGGTGGACAGGTGGACTGGATGATCTTAGAGGTCTTTTCCAACCTTGGTAATTCTATCATTCTATCATACTAGGCTACGCAATAGCCTTTGGTAACAATATGCTCCTTCCAGGGAAGCTGTCAGAAATCCAACATTCACAGTGAGAGAAAAAAATATGGGGTTCCCCTCAAATATCTCCTTGTGTTTTAGGACACCCTCTCCTAGGAACAGAAACAGGTAAAATAGAAAGCTAACTTGGAGGGGGGGAAAAAAAAAACCTTTAAAAATGCACTCCAGGGAAAAAAAAAAAATCTATGTATATATATTAATTGCAGGTTAATTACACAATAAACCTACTATTTTTAGATTTCAGAACAGATTGCCCTTGCCCTTTTAGTTTTGCCTCCCATTGCCTGCCCTTTTAAAAGTTAGCAGTGTCTCTCTGGCATCACTACAGCTCATTCATTACTCTATAACCAGTTTGTAACTTAAACAAGAAATGCTCAACAAGCTAAGTCACCAAGTCACCCTACAACTTATTCTATGATTCCATGATATCATATTTGGAACTGAAATCAGTGCCTGCTTTTTCTTCCCTTTCATGACAAATTCCTCCTTCACCAAGGAGAGAAATTCCCTGCAGCACTGATAGGCATATTTGACTCTGTAAGATAAAGCTTACATCAAACTAGGTATGTTTGATTAGTAGCTATTTTCTGTACACTTTCAGTAGATATAATTTCTTTGTATAAAGCGTATCAAGTAAAATATACTATGTTTAAAACATTTTTAGCTATGTAAAATTTACAGTAATTATTTGTATGAAACTGGCTTTGGCTGTCTCCATCCTTTCCTGTGTCGACACCCATAACTATACATCTCCCAACCTGTTCTGCTGGTATCTCACCAACCAGCTCTCCAGTTTCTCCAACTCCTAGCTTTGATATGCCACTCTTTGGAGGCAGACACAGGCTGATCTTCTTTTTGTGCTTTTTTCCTTGCCGGCTGCAATGTCAGCTGAGCCCAGGCCAACCTCTTCTCAGCACCACTATCTTGACAACCTGGAACTGAAACTCCTTGCCTGAGTTTTTTGCTCTCTTAACAACATAATGAGCTCCATTTTTATATTTATTTACTTCTCCCTTAAACCACTTTTCTACTGAGAAAAGGACAGATTTTGTAGTATAAATGAAAATCAGGCCCTCCACTTAATTTTAACTCCAATTTAAGAAGTAAAAATACAGGCCTGCTTTTATAAATCTTCTCAGTGCATAATGACTCATATTACAATATTTGTTTAAAAATATTTT